TGATTTAGGTATCTTCTTCTTTAAAATAACTTCATTCATAACTTCTAGCAGTGGAAGATTCAACAATTCTTGTAATGTTTTGTAAAATTCTGCTGGAAGTCCATCTGGGCCTGGTGCCTTTCCATTATTTTGCTTCTTGAGTGCTTCATTTAACCCCATCATCGTTATATTGCTTTCTAACATTTTTTTCAGTCTCTTTAGGTATCTGAGGTAAATTAGCATTCTGTAAGTACTGTTTAACTCTTTCCTCATCAATATTCTCTTTCATATATTTCCCATAGGAGTCTCGAATGATTTCCTTCTTCTCTTTGCTACCATGGCAAACTTGGCCTTGGTCATCTATTAATTGCAATATTTTCCTTGATTCTTTCTCCTTTCTCAATTTGTATGCTAACCATCTACCTGGTTTGTTTGCGTCTTCAAAGTAGTTCTGTTTAGCACCTCTAATTTTCTGTGCTAATTCTTCTTTTTCTATTTGACCCATTTTGTGTTTAATTATATATCCATTTTTAGCTTGATGTCCTTTTTCTGTGGCATTTTCTGTGGCATTTTTCAAGTCTTTTATACTCATCCTCTAGGGCCTTAGAGGCTAGTCTTTTCATAGTATTCCTTTTCCTTGTATAGTCTATTATCAAGCCTCTAACATATGCTTTCATTGTATCCTATACTTTTTGAACTGATGTATCTTCTTTTTTGTTTTCTCTAAGGAAAAAAGCCAATTCTTTCTCCATCCACTGTGTGAAGTCTTTTTCCTTTAAAATGGCATTATTTAACGTCCATCTAGATCTTCTTCTTTGTCCTTTCCATTTAATTGTCATTGGATTGTGATCTGCCCAAGTACTTGTTTCAATGTTTATTTCTTGAATGTTAGTTATTAATTCTGTTGACATCCATATCATATCTATTCTGGACCATGATAAGTGTCTATTTGAATAGAAGGTGTATTGTATAGTTTTAGCATTTCGTTCTCTCCATGTATCTTTTAAATTTATTTCATCTACCATTTTAAAAAAAGATTTAGGGAGAGTCTTTCAATTTTGCTTTGTTTTCTGTACTGTATAGTCCAATTTATTGTCTACAATTCCATTAAAATCTCCCATCATAACTATATTAGCATAGTCCAGATCGATTATTTTCATATGTAATTTTTTGTAGAATTCTTCTTGTTTGTCATTCGGAGCATAAATTGCAATCAGGAGTGTTTTCATATTATTATCCATTATTTCCACCATTAGTATTCTTCCATCATCATCGGTATAGATCAATTTTGCTGGGGTGGTCTCTTTAATATATAAAACCACTCCTCTTTTCTTACATTGTGTCAAGGAAGTAAATTTTTCCCTAATTTTGCTGTACCAACAATTGCTCATATTGTTTTTTAATATGTACTTCTTGTAGACAAATTATATCAAATTTTAATTTCTCTAATTTATGAAAGGTTTTCCTTCTTTTAACGGCTGAGTTAAGTCCATTTATATTAATTGTAATCAATTTTTTCTCTTCCATGGTTATATTTTATAGTTAGGTTTAGCAGCTCTCGTAGATCTTAGTTCACGTTGTTCTTTGGCTTCCACCTTTCCACCTAATGCGCCTTCTTCTTTTTCAGTCGCCATTTGGCAGTCTTCTTGGAATTCAATTAGTGAGATCTCTTTTTCTGCCTCTTCCTCTTTCCTTCCAAAAAATTCTGTATAAAATAATTCCGCTTTCTCAACTGAATCAATTCTATGTCTCTGTTCTTGCCATGTAAACATTAAACCTTCTGGAACCAGCCATCTATAATTCACCTCTTTTTAAAGTAGCATTTTAGTCAGGAATTGGTATTTTCTTCTCATCTCTCTCACTCTTCTGGGTATTTGTTTCAAGACCACTATCTCCTTGTCTTTGTATTTCAGTGTTTTCTCTTTTGCCACTTGCAATATTTGCATTTTAATGGCTTTCTTTGTAGATCTAATGTGAATTTCTCTTGGTAAGCTATTTTTCATCGCATATCTTGTGAAAACTTGATAAACCTCATCTATTCCATCCATCATCTTCTGGTGTCTGGAGTCTGGTGTTGAAATGTAGGGGGGGAAAAGTGATAAGTTTTTGGAGAAGAGAGTTATAATAAGAGCCTTGGATAATTAAACAAAGTGCAGTGTGCCCTTTTTACTTTTCCTAAGTTGTGCTATCCCTCCTCATCAGCTTTATTGTATTTCTTTTTATCTTTTTTTGGTAATAACTATATGGGTTTTTGGCTTTGTTTGGAGCTCCAAAGCTTCAGCCTTTATTTCTATCATTATCTCAGCTAGGTTTTGTCCTTTTTCTTCCTCTACGTTTTGGAATCTAAGATAGAATTCTGATCTATCCATCTCCCATCTCAACATACCACTTTTATCTTGTTCAACCACCGTTAATCTATTATCAATATCTCCAATCTTCTTGTCTCTTTGTTTATCTTCTTCAATTTTTTGGAATCTCTCATCATACTTCAACATCATTTGTTGGATGTTCCCCACTTTTTCATCAGTTTTCCCTGTTCTTTGTTCAATGTTCTCTGTTCTTTGTTCAATGTTCTCTGTTCTTCGTTCAGTGTTCTCTGTTCTTTGTTCAATGTTCTCTATTCTCTTTTCAATATTCTCTGATCTTGCTTGAATATTTTTAATTCCTTGCATAATCATCTGCAGAGTCACTTTTTCTTGTTCTTTTTCTTGCTTTAACATTGTCTGTATTGAACGTTGTCCTCCAGATGGTGGAGAGGAAGAAGTAGAAGTTGAACAACCAGGAGCTATAAATTTCCTACTCATTTTAAGCAATTCAAAATCTTCAGGTTCTTCTAAACCTTAATCCAATTATGAAGTAACCAATTATAGTTCAAAATAAAAATAGTAGAAAAAGGAAGCCCAATAATAATAATAATAATAAAAGAAAAAAAAGGGAGGTCAAAATTTCTTCAGGTTCTTGTATACCTTAATCCAATCAATAGTTCGATGAAGAAAAAGACTTAAGGGGAAAAAAAGAAAAAAAGGAAAAATTCTTCAGGTTCTTCAACACCTTAATCCAATTGAAAGGTCTCAAATATTAAAAAGTGCATAAGAATAAACCAGAAAGGTAGATGAAAAAAACAAAAATACCAGGAAAGGGGGAAAAAAAGAGGCTTTTAAGGCTTTCCCTTTAAAATAAAAAGCAAACGTAGAGATTGGACTTCCAAAGAAAAAAAGAAAAACAAAAACAAGCTTCAACAAAGCCAAAAACCCAAATAGTTATTACAAAAAAAAAAGATAAAAAGAAATACAATAAAGCTGATGAGGAGGGATAGCACAACTTAGGAAAAGTAAAAAGGGCACACTGCACTTAATTATCCAAGGCTCTTATTATAACTCTCATCTCCAAAAACTTTTCCCCCCTACATTTCAACACCAGACTCCAGCTTTTGATAGAAACCCAGAGGAAGGAAGAGCACCTGCAATAATACTCTCCCATGCTCTTCCCTCTATCTTATCAAATAGCAATGTCCTTGAAAAAGAGTCTCAGTTCTTTCTTTCTCAGCTTTGTCTGGTCACAGGGAAATAGAATATTTTCAAGCCTCTAGTTGGCAGTGTTACAAAGTTTCTTTGCTCTCACTTTCCCCCTCCTTTTCCAAGCAAGATATAATAAGAATTAAAAAAAGAAAAAGATATTTTTAAAAAAGAAATAACTAAAAGGGAGCCTCTAGCCTAAAATATTACAAAATCAAAAAGGAGAAGAAAAAAATAGATATAAACAAAAAAACCAGTCCAGTTTCAAAATACAAGATCATATACAGAAAATCCAGCAATGAGAAAAAAATACATTACTTTGACATTCCTGTTTAAAATCGCCACTTAATCACTTCTGTCAAAACTTTTACAGATTCTTTCTTTTCCTTAGGGTGTCCTTTCTTATCTTAGAATATAAAAAAAGTTCTCACCAAACCGGCACACTCTCTCTTTCTGCTCTCTTCCATTTCGGAGCTGTCCCAACTTCAGCAGCTTTAATGGCTGTCTGTTTGCCGCTGGCAAGAAGAGCTTCTCCTGGATCTACCAGGGACTTTGCAGTATCCCTGGAATCGACAGGATGCGTTCTTCACTTTCACCATCTCTTCAGGACAGTTTAGATCCGATAGGACCGTCCAGGAGCAAAGATATCGGCAGCGATCTCAGACCTCTAAGATCGCATGCCGTATCATCGCGATGCCAGCTCCGCCCTCTTCAGAATTGTTCTTTATCTTTCTGTTGTGAAGAGAAAATGTTATTCCTCGATGATCTGCTGCTACATACTACAGCATAATTTACTTGCATAGCAATTAGCAATCTAAAATGTGGTACAATGGATGTTCAACAAAACTTCAGATAATTTAACCATACAAGGAAAATAGATTTCTGGTTTAGAAAGATGATTTTTTTTTTTAATTTTGGTTGAGAAAGACTGTGACTTCATGAACAATCACATGAAAATGAATTTCAAAAGATTTTATCTAGATCAGTGTTCCCTCAATCAGCAGTACATATATCATTAAATAGTTCTTTATAAGAGTACTGAGGCAGAGAATTTTTTGAAATGTAGAATTAGAGCAGCCCCTGAAAGGGCACGGCTGGCTTAGGAGTCAAAACATAACTAAAGGAACAATTGCTCTCTTTGTTTGGGTATATTTGGAAGGGGGAAGAGAAATACTGGAAGATTGCTCCCATAACAGAAAAATCTGCTTCAGCTCCAGTTAGCTCTTGTTATTTTATAATGACATCAACAGAATGCCTGCAATGTTTATAACTAACTAATATATATGTTGACAAGAATTTTCTTAGAAAGGCATCCTTATTGGTAAATAGTAAAGGCCTTTCTGTTTCTGCCTTGGTCAGATCCAAATTTTTGAAAGTAGTTCTATTTCAAGCTACTGACACACTCACTTTTCTAGTAGTAGCAAATGAATCTTAATATATTTAATATGTATATATATATTTGATGGTTGTTTATTAACTTGGCTATATATTATATTTGTAACATAGGTTAAAGGTGTCAAAGGAGTGTTTTTGGCTAATCAGAAAATAAATGGAAAAGTTACCACTCTTATAACATTTAATAAAGGCCGTAACTGGGATTATCTCATACCCCCAGCTACTGATATGAATGGGAAACCAACTGTCTGCAAACCAGTGAGTATTTCCCCCTGCTGTTAAAATAACAACAAAAAAATCCTATTTAACAAAGACATAAAAAATAGGTTGATGATGAGAAAAACATTAAATATGGATTTTATGAAGTATATACAATATAATTTGAACTGTTATTATGTTCTACTATGTTTGGTTTTCTATCAATGAAAGAATCTGTACCATACAATAAGAAGGAAACATTTTAGACTTCAACAGCTGAAAATTATATTTCCAAAGTGATTTATAAACATTTATTTGCTTCATCTTCCTGAAAGCTTTGAGTAAATCTCTGTTGATATCTAAACTATTCCAAATATCGTATAGCTAAAAGTCTGCAGAGATTCTCAGACATCCAGGTCATGGTAATCCCAAAGTGCTTTTTCAGGAGGCAACTTTTAGCTATACAATTTGGGATAAATGGTGTGGGAGTAGGAATGGATTTCCAAATGAAGAAATTACAGACTACAGGAACCAGAAGCACTACTCTGGTGAGATTGAGGACACAGATAAACTTCCAAGAGCTTCAAGGACTCTCTAAAAGGATACAAATGACCAGATGTCTGTAAAGTATATAAATCCTTCCATTCCCCACTATCCTGTCAGAGCTGAAGAAGCTTCTTGGATGAGAAGTGAAAGAAGTCTTCAAAGAAAAAAAAATAAGCAAGTTCAGTTGCCTCCTGAAAAAGCACCTTTGGGACTTTCAGTCTTTAGTTTCAAGTCATCAATTGTGGCAACAATAGCAATTTAAGCAATATGTGTTCAACAATGATAAAGATAGAATTGTGAGTTTTCTAGCATTTGCAAGAGAGAAACTTGAGGAAAAGAAAAATTGACCTCAGCATATTTTGGATGGAGAGCATGTAGAGATTTTGCAGTCTAGAATATTGATTTAGGATAATGGAAACTTAGCTTTAACTCCTCATGTAACTGAAGTCCACCAAATGACTTTAGGCAGCTATGTTTTTCCAACCCAAGTTAAATCACAGTACTGGTTGATTAAATGAAGAATGAACTGCATTTATAACGTCCCAAAAAACAGATGGGAAATACAATAATACAATGAAACCTTTGTGCAGTGAATTTTACATCAGTGGATGACATTTTGGGGAGTAATTGATTATTTAAATAAAAAGTTTCATGTGAGGAAGAAGAGATGAGTAGTAATTTTATTTAGGCTACGGATGTTAAACTCATGGCATCACATTGCCGTCACATGACTTTTCATGACATTTTTTCCCTTCACAAAGTTGGGGTGGGCATGGCCTGCACGTGACACATCCAACCTACAGGCCACCAGTTTGACACCCCTGATGTAGGCAATTACAATATAAACCACAATATTCAGCAACAGAGAGGAATTAACTTAATCATCTTTTCTTAGGGCTGGAGTAAGTGCTCCCAAATGTGTTTCTGAAGTAATCCTGAGGCTGGAAGCAGGTGTGCCAAGCACTAAAACTCAGGCATGGTCCAGAATATTAGCAGTTATTTCAAGCAAACATTATTACTACTATAGAATTAATATCAATGTAATGACCATTGCTGTAAATATTTTGATCATTATTTTCTAAAATAGCATGTACCCAGGCAACACACTGTTCAATTGAAATTGAAATTTTTATAGGTTATAACATAAAAATAAAAAACTTTTAACAATTAACAGTTATTTCAAATCTCCAAAGATTATTTCTACTGTTGTTAATGAGTGTTATTATCCAGTACAAATTGTAGCAATACAGACAGTTGGTAATAGGTTTGCAAACAAAAGTTCATTACTTACTGTATGTTTCACACCTGAATATACAGTATAAGCCAACTGGGACTTGAAGATGCCATGTTAATGAAAGGATAATCAATATGAAAGACTGGAAAGACCTGGCCCAGGCCTCATACTTCCAGTGCTGGAATTTTTATAGTTGATTAAACTATATATTTTGGACTTGGATATACCTAGCTTGATTTAATCTATGTTCATATGAATTAAATAATAAAAAGCAAATTTAATTTATTTCAAGTAAAGTGAAAGGTGTACTTTTATACATATTAGATTTCATCAATTATAATCATTAAAACATTGGACAAATAAAAATTATCCCACTTTAATTAAATCAAAGGACTTTCTTTGGATTATACAGAAGGTTCATTCAAATATAATATAGTTCTGTTTAATTCAGTTTAATCTTGTCAATATTTTTCTTTTATATCTCTTTGGGGAAAGTATAATTAAAAACCCAAATACCAAATCATCATTAGGATGATTAAAACTTCAAATGTCTGAAAGCAAGGATCAGAGACTATGCTGAATAAATACTATTAAACTGATTAAGGTACATTTATAAAATCTTGGGACTAAGCTTCTGTCTTGTGAACATGAGCAGTTATTCTTCTGGCATTTGTATCTGGTATATTTTTAAAATGGCAAAAATAGTTTTAAAAGAGATTTATATCTCTTTGGAATATACAAGTCTTCAAAGTAGATGTCTGTGTTTAATTTTAAAGAATAAAATTACAAGTAGTCCTCATTTAGCAATCAAAATTGGGATTGCTGCCAGAATTACTAAACAAAGCATCATATGACTGTGACAGGTTTATGTCCTCACTTCTGCTTTGGTCATTAAGCAAATCACCACAATCATTAAGAGAATCATCATATGATTGGAACATTTACTTCCACATTCTCCATTAACTCTGTTATAAGCCAATTAGAAAGCATACAAATGGTGATTACATGAATGTGCACCAATTGCAGAGCACCTGAATAGCATTTGATCACAGGATGCTGCAACAAAACTGGGTTTTGTTACTACAATCATAACTTTAAATGGTTGCTTAAAGAGACATTTGGTAAGTAATGTATGTATTGCATTAATATGTCATACAGTATTTTTACATACTCATGATGTGCAGATAATCTTCGAGGTATGACAAACCATTTAATGAACATTCAAAATTAGAACCCCACCCCAAAAGCTACATATGATGGCTACATATGAAAGTTATGATGGTTGTAGCGGACCTGCGATTTTTCACCCTTACGATCCATCACAAGGTTGCTGCAGCCCTCACCCTCCTCTCTCCACCCTCATCCCATCCTGCTGGAACCCTGCAGTGCTTGGGCCTCCTCCCCACATGCCCCTCACACCACACACTTACCTTCCGAAGTTCTCCAGCGCTTATGTTGTACAAGGAGGGCAGGGCATATGTCCCCAGGCTGTGCTGCAGTGACCCAAATGTGGCCACCACTTTGTCCTGCTTGCTTTGGGGCAGGAACAAAATGGCAGCTCCCAGAGAAATTGCTTCATTTTGCTGCCTTAGAGAGATCTGCTCAGTGCCACAGAGGCTTGAATGATGAAAAAAAAAGAAAAAAGCTTTTGCAGCAATCTGAAGACCTTGTGAAGGTAAGCAGAACAAAGTCAATTGTCCCCGGGCTGTGCGGCAGCAACCTGAATGTGGCCACCATTTTGCCCCACCAGTTTGTGGCAGGGGACAAAATGTCATCTGCCAGACCAGCTGCTTCATTCTGCTGCCTTAGATTATATAGTGCTTAGATTACACAGTACTGCAGCACTATACAGAGCTTGTTAAGGCAACAAAGGGATGGGGGGGGGAGAGGTTGTTAGGTGACACATTTCACCTAATGATTGCTAGAATGGGACCATAAGGGGCAGGTTTCATTACAGTCATATCTGGTGGACTATCTGGACTATCTGTGGTAATATTTTGTGCTGGTACAATGGGGAAAATTTCAATATAATGCCATTATTACAATAGTAACAATAAATACTGTTCTGTTTAATCTTGGTGTGGTTGTTTCAGAAATTAAAGTTATTCCACTTACTCTGCTAAAAACAGTGTTTTTTCTTTGTTAATTTTATAGCCTGATTGCCATCTTAATCTTCATCTGCGCTGGCCAGATAATCCATATGTGTCAGGGATGGTTCATACTAAGGATACAGCACCAGGACTCATAATGGGGGCAGGTAAAAAAAAAGAGATAACTTAATATTTTGCTTTTGGTGTTTTTCAGGAAAAAAAACACATAATACTGCAACTTTGTCTCAAATTACCTATCTCTAACAGTTATGGGTTTTTGTTCCATCCTATCTGTTTGTCTCTGTTGTATACGAAATCAAGTAACCAGAAATAGTTTCCCCCCTTTTTTGGCTTTACCTATTTCTATAGATATTGCTATAACAGATGCTATCATGATATTATTTCTGATCTGTGTGGGAAATGCATGATCTCTAAATTTTGTTTACCTAGCTAGGAAAAGCATAGGTAGTGAGAACCATATATAATAGATAGAAAGGGGATATTTGAGGAAGCCAATTAGTGGTATCTGAAATACTGTATTCCTCTCTCCTTTTCAAATAATATGTTCAGGCCGTTACCTTCTGAAAGAGCCTCTAGTAAAGTCACAGGGCTCCTACACTTTATGAAGCTTCTTGGACTTTGCCTCTCATTTAAGAGCTGAAGGGACAAAATATCATTCCAACTGCATAGGAGTTAAATTGAGGATAAGGGGGCAAGGTCATCTGAGATGGAAATTGGACTGAGTAAAGAAAACATAGGTGGCCAAAATCAGCAATAATAGCCTGAAACATTCTCTATATTATATTTCACAACTACAGGTAATTTTGTTTAATGACTACTTACTTGTTCAGTAACCATTCAAAGTTACAGTGGTGCTGAACACTCACTGCCCAATCCAGTTTAGGTTCACTAGTTATTATTTCTCTGGAATGAAACCAACAGTATATCTTCAGCAACCAGTAGAATTAGGATCAAATTAGTCATTAAAGCTGCCAATCATCACCTCCATTTCAAAACTTATTCATCTCAGAATCCTCTGTTTTTTAAAAAGTTTTACTGCCTATCCATGCCCTCCTTTTTATGTGAGAACTATGATTATCTAAACTAAATCCCTACTCTTAGCCCCTTGTTAACAAAGCAAGTATAAATTGTTTTGTCTGAATATCTGCATGGGAACATAGTAACATGAAGGGCTACCAAGAAATAATTGTTAAATACAGGCTCAGCACAAGGATATGTGTGGTTTGTAAGCTGCAGACTTCATTTTAAATTTACAGATTAAGTCTAGCATTTAGGCCTTCATATTAGATACACACATTTTCTCCCTGTAGAAGTCTGTATGTTTCTGACTTCATGTGTCCTTAGAAATATTACTGGTTCTACAGATGAGTCATTGAAACCAGTTATTTCACCTTGTACCTAGCACAGAAGTTCACTGTGTGCAATCTTAACAACCCTCCATGTTGATTCACATAAGCTATGATTAGGAATGGAAAACTATGAATGATTGTGTGTAAGGGGAAAAGCTGCTTGGTATTTAGAGCTGAATAAAAAAAAAATCTAACTGGCAGTCAGCACACATCCACTTTCTGATTACTTTAAAACTAAACATTTGATACACAAATGCTGCGGTGTGTAGGAAATGTATAAATTGCCTTGCATACCTACTTGCTTCCAGAACAGAGTACCACATCCATCATCTATACCCAGTCTGTACACTTCAACTTCATTTGTTCTGACTTACCTGAGACAGATGCTTGCTGATAGAATTAAGCCAGCAATCAGGAGACTGAATTTCTCACCCAAGAATATAAACAGAAAAATCAATAGAGCTAGATCAGTTCCCAAGCAGGATCTATTAAAAGATAGACAATAGAAATAGAAGAGTGATTATCATCCACAGTTAGTTCAAGCCTCTCAAACAAATTATTAATAAGCTACAATCCATACTGGATAATAACACTGTACTCTCAAGCACTGGATGGCAAACCTGAAATAATATGCAGACACCATCCAACCTGAAGCAAATTCTCACAAGCAATAAGAAACAATAGAATTGTTCTTATCATAGGCCCTAACAAGGACACACACAAGATTAGAACCACCTTTGCAGATATTCTAATGTGATACATGCCAGCAATGTTCCTCTGGATTATTCATAGGACAAACAGGATAACTCTGTGTAAAAAAATTAATGGTCACAAGTTTGAAATTAGGACTCAAAATAGGGACAAAGTAATATTTGAGCATTTCAATCTCCCAGAACTCAGTTGAAGATCTCAAACATTTTTGGAAAACAACTGCTAAGCAAGAAATAGTTGAACTCACATCAAATTTCCAGGCAATCTTGGATTTCGACAAGCAAATTGGTTTTTAACACATTATAATTGTTAATTGTTGAGGAACTTGCACTCTGTCTGGCATGTAAACTGCATCTATATAACCAACCTGTCTCTTCTTTCCTTTCTCATTTTATCACAGTTTAAATCCTACATCAGTCTAGCCATGCAGTTCATCCGATGAAATGAGCTGCAGCTCATGGATACTTTTAATAAAAATTGTTAATCAGAAAAGGTGGTATCAAACTTCTCTATTTTTCTCACCATAGGTTAACATAGCTCTCCTTCTGCAATGACTCATCTTTTCTAGTAGCCTAACTTCTTTGCACAGGTTGACTGCAGCCATTAAGACAAAACATTGAACTAAATCTGCAAAGATTTATTTGGGGTCAGAACCTGCACAGATAAGGTGGTAGAGAGACTTTCACTCTATTTGTGCCTTTGTGCGGGACAAGTCAGCCATGGGAAATGATCCTAGACCCTAGAGAAGATGTCTGGCTGTTTGTCTCCAAGTTCAGCAGCTTTTAGCCATTCCAGAGTAACAGCTGTTGTGAAGAATATGAGGAAGGAGTTGGACTTTTTTTCTTTTGGGTCTGGAGAAGAAGAAGTCAGAGTGAAGAAATTGATTCAAATACCGAGGAATAAAATCAGATCATAAAAATAAACAGAAGCAGTTTTTTTCAACTAATGACTATTACATCAAAGATAAAACTAAGGAACAGGTAGCTGAAACAGTAGGAATGTAAAGCAATGAATCCAAAGCACTTGCAAGCAAGTTGCAAGGTAGTTTTGATCAATGTACCTTAGAGGATATCTGAGCAATATCAGAATAAATAGAACTAGTAATTTCTGATAGTGTTGAAGATTCTGATGACAGAAAAAAAAATCACAATAGACTAAGTCCTGGTATATACTGCTATAACACAATGGTGAGTCTAGTGAAGGTATTAGTGACTATTTTCTTGGGTACTCATAATATGGCAGATAATGTAAGCATAGAACTTGGGAACTTCTTGAAATGTGGTTATGTTAGGGTTTGTCATTACCCAGTCATGAAATTTACATACTGTCTTGGAAAAGTAGCATCACTCAACTTAATTTATGTAGTGTAGTTGTATTGCTGTTAGTTTAAAGTAAAATATCTTTATATGTCCTGCTTTTAAGTTATTGAATAAAAATGGGGTACAAGGATAAAGGATAAATACTATAAACCAGGGGTATCAAACTGGTGGTCCCTGGGCCAGATGCATCATGCACAGGCCATGCCCACCCCAGCTCTGCAAAGGGAGAAAAAGTTGTGATATGTCACGTGATGTTATGTGGCACAATCGAGTTTGACACCTGTGCTATAAACTAAAAACATTAATATGTAACCTGCTGTTAGAGGCTACCCATCATCAGTGCCTCTGAGAACAGGTCCCACATTATTTTGGTGGGTGTTATTATTGGACCAATTGTGGCTTTAGGATAATCTTCTCCAACTTGACAGCCTCCAAGTTGTGTGTGGAGCTTCAATTTCCTCCAAGTTATGTGTGGAAGCCAGCTGGATGGCAAGCCTAAAGTATAATCTATTGTAGGGATTCTCTTTGGTCTGCATGTAGAAGGAGTTTTTCAGCCATAAGGATGGGTGGAGAATAGGAGTCTTTGAAGAAATAATTGCAGTAAACATTTGCAATACTTTAGTAATTTTACTATTATTATTATACTTTTATTCTCAGGAAATCTGGGTGCCCAGCTTGTAGAATACAAAGAAGAAATGTATATAACATCTGATTGTGGCAAAACATGGAGACAGGTATTGAAATGAAGTGATGTATTTGGTCATTTTACATATTTTTATATTTATGTACTTGTTTGTTTATTAATAAAGGTGAGATACAAATAAATAAATATATTAATATAAAATAACACAATCTTGCAACCCTAAATATGTTCTGATTCAGTGAAAAGAAAATATAGAGAGAAATAAACTTTTCAGTAAATCAATCAAGCTGAAGGAAAGGCCTCATGTGTGAATCCTAATATGACCAAGCTATTCATTATCAATAGCTGGGGCCTTATTGATAGTCCAAATCAAGACAGAAAGAATGAATGAGTTATTATTTATTAGCAATCATCTTGCCAAACTGCTGTGCCCAGTAGAATATGTTTTTGTATACATCAACAACTAGATTAAGGATATGATTTCTTTTATCATCTATCTTTTATTACTACTGGGATTTTTTTCTTGGAGGCTTGATGATATAATCACTTTTTAAACATTTAGTTAATTCCAGTCTAGGTCTAAGCATATTTAAATAAAATTAATTGCTTTTGCATTTAATAAATATGCAGAGGACTATAGCCTTAGGAAAGCATAGTGAGCCATTTTTTAATTATGGTATAACTTATTTCTTTCTTGAATGATATTTTAGATGAATGTATTCTCACATTATCACTTGGGATACTTTCTTTCTTTATCTTTCACCTTTACATACTTTCCCATCATCTATGCTATTTCTTTTGCTATTTTCATGACCCAAAATATAGGTAGTCCTTGACTTATGACCACAATTGAGCCCAAAATTTAAGTTACTAAGCAAGAAATTTGTTAAGTGAGTTTTGCCCCATTTTACGACTTTTCTTGTCACATTTGTTAACTGAATCACTGCATTGTTAAATTAGTAACATGATTGTTAAATGAATCTTGCTTCCCAATTGACTTTCTTTGTCAGAAGGTTGCAAAAGGGGATCACGTGACCCCACGACACTGCAACCATCATAAATGTTGTCAGTTGTCAAACATCAGAATATAAATCACATGACCATGGGGATGCTGCAATTGTCATAAGTGTGAAAAATGGTCATAAGTAACTTTTTTCTGTGCCATTGTAACTTCAAATGTTCATTAAGTGAACTGTTATAAATTGAGGACTACCTGTAATTGATGTTACAATTTTCATGAAATTGTCATCATTTCCTAATCTCCATTGTTGTTCCTCCCCCACCATTTCCCTCATTCTGTTGTCACTCCAGTTTTTCCCAGATTTCAGTGCGTGTGTCCCCCCTCCCCAGTCTAATGAATCTCCTCTCCCCTCTTCCAATATTAGTCTATTTTTGATCCAATATGCTAATACAGTTTTCTTGAAAACCTAATTAATTTGTTGTTTTTCTTTTCCTGGCCATTAGGTTTTTGAAGAGGAGCATCATATCTTATATTTGGATCATGGTGGTGTGATTGTGGCCATCAAAGATACATCTATTCCTCTGAAAATACTCAAGTAATTCTACAGCAAACTTTCATTAGTCTACTGTATTTTCAGTACCAAAAATATTCCAACTAAAGTGTTTTTTCCCTGAGAGAGTTATTTACTAATTTAATATTTGCTTCATATTTGCTAAATGTCTATGGAGCTTCTCAGTCATCCAGGTCATGGTTATCCCAAGGATGCTTTTTCAAGAGGCAAGAGCTGAAGAAGCTTCTTGGATGAGAAGTGAAGCATCTTCAAAGAAAAACCAGAAAGTCTAGATGCTTTTTGAAAAGCACTTTTGAAACATCCATGTTTGCTAGTTATATTCATATATGTAATAAATACATTTATCCATGGAAATCAGGAAATAAAACATAGGTAAGGAGATCATTCTCCCCCACCCCCTTTATAGGCATCTATAAATAGCTATCTAGAACCTAGAAAATAGAACAATAAGGTTAGAAGGGAGCTTGGAGGTCTTTTAGTTCAACCTCCTGTCTGTGGCAGGAGATCCTCTACCACTCAAGACTTTCACTGGGCTTTATGCGATGGATGCATTTGATCATAGAAAGAATAACAAAAACAGAACAGAATAGTAGAGTTGGAAGGGATGCTGAAGGTCCTCCAGTCCATCCCCCACCCCAAGCAGGAGATCCTATACCATTTCAAACAAATGGCTGTTCAATCTCTTTTTAAATATCTCCATTGATGAAACACCCACAAGTTGTTCCACTGATTAATTGTTCTCCTTAGTTCTAGATTGCTTCTTTCCTTGATTAGTTTCCATCCATTGCTTCTTGTCCTGTCTTCAGGTACTTTGGAGAACAGGTTGGCCCCTCTTCTTTGTGGCAGCCTCTCAAATATTGGAGCACTGCTATCATGTCTCCCCAATCCTTCTTTTCATTAGACTAGACATACTCAATTTCTGCAACTATTCTTCATATGTTTTAGCTTCCAGCCCCTTAACCATCTTTGTTGCTCTTCTCTGCACTCTTTCTAGAATCTCAACATCTTTTTTATACTGTTGTGACCAAAACTGGATGCAGTATTCCAAGTGTGATCTTACCAAGGCCTTACAAAGTGGTTCTAACACTTCACGTGAGCTTGATTCTATCCCTCTGTTAATGCAGCCTAGAACTGTGTTGCCTTTTTTGGCAGCTGCTGCATACTGCTGGTTCATATATAAGTGATTGTCCACTAGGACTCCCTAGATCCCTCATGTAGTTACTGCTAGATTTCATCTAATACATCTCTGTGCATTTGGTTTTTTCTTGCCTAAGTGTAAAACCTGACTTTTCTCACCTCTAAATTTCATTTTGTTCTATAGGGCCCAGTTTTCAACCCTGTCAAAGTCCTTCTGGATCTTGAACCTATCTTCTGGGTTTTTGGCTATTCCTGCCAGCTTGGTGTCATCTACAAATTCCCCTTCTATCCCTATCTACTTGGATATCTTTAAAAGGGGTTTAATTAGTGTTGTGTTAAAGCAGGGGTGTCAAACTCACGTCGTCATGGCGGTGTCACATGATGTATCGGGACTTTTTTCCCAATTGCTAAACCAGGCATGGGCGTGGCCAGCATGTGATGCATCTGACCTGCGGGCCAGGAGTTTAACAGCCCTGCCTTAAAGAGTTAGGAAGCTGTCAGCTGAAACTATTATTTTCTGGCAACGCTAGTCTGTGCACTGAATCTTCTTTGTGCTCCTGACAATGATGTTTTCCATGTATATGTATAATAATCTGGGTCTTCTACTATTTTGGTCTTCTATATTAGGTTTGTTGAGCAAAAAAGAATAGTATAGCTGCAGAAAGATAGCTGCCGGTGATACTATTCTAAACTATTTGGAAATATTTAGTATATGTCTCTTCTAAAATACCTAGAAGGGAATTTCCTATTGTTATTGACATCGAATTGGCTATTATGCAAACTGCATGCAGCACAAGATAATAATTTGATCTCATCCAGAAGAACTATTTTGAGGTTTTGATAAATTTGATAATTATTTTGATTCTTACTTTCAGTTATTACTTACATTGTGACCTACCACATTGACTCTCAGAACAGTATACTGATCTCATGATCAAATTTTATGAACATAAGGGACTTGTGTATATCATAAACTTGATGCCAGAGGACCCCATCATACAGATCTTATAATTTTCCTTTGTGTGTTTTCTTTAGTATGATTAATTCACACAGATTTTTTGGGTGCATTGTTCTGGATAAACTATTAAGAGTTTGAAATACAGGTAGTTCTCAACTTGCAACCATAATTGAACCCAAAATTTATTCTAGTAAGCAAGATGGTTATAAGGTGAATTTTGATCCATTTTACAATATTTTGTCATAGTTCCTAAATAAATAACTGCAGTTATTAAATGAATCACTTTGTTGTTAAGTAAATCCAGCTTCCCTCATTGACTTTGCTTGTTGGAGGCTGGCTGGGAAGGTCGCAAAAGATGATGATATGATCCTGAGATGGTGCAAGTGTCATAAATATATGCCAATTGCCAAGTACCTGAATTTAGATCCCATGACCATGGGGATTCTGCAGTGGTCATAAGTGTGAAAAACTGTCATAAATCTGAATGGTCACTAAATGAATAGTATAAATTAAGGACTTCCTGTATCTGTTTCAGATTTTGAAATAATCTCTTTTGATATAACTTTAGTGGCAGAATTATTTTTTACAAAGGAAAGAATTCAAATATGCATACATGTAGCCCTTTACTGACAATTGGGATTGGAATTTCAATAGCTAAACAATGTGATAGTAAAGTGTGAGTGTGTTGCTTAGTGACAGCGATCCCTGTAATCCTGGTTGCCATCATTAACTCAAACTCATAACTGTTAGTCAAGGCAACTTTCTGTCAGCTCCTCACAACCAAGTATTCGGGGAAGCTGTCAGGAAGCTGAACGTTCCACACCTGCAGACAGGTAAATGGCTCCTGGATAGAGGAGAGAGTGAAGAAGGGTTCAGGGCATGAGGGTTGAGGAGAGTATGTGAGAAGAAATGCTCAAGGATGGAAGAGAGGATCTGGGAGGGTGCAAGAGAGGTACCATCAGGGTCAGGGAGGGTGTGCAAGAGTGAGAGTTTAGAAAGGATATAGAAGATGTACTATGTGGGTTGGAGAGAGTGCATACAGGTTAGGGGTTGCAAAAGACTCACAGAGAGGGTTGGAGAGAGTGCACTGAGATGCATAGGTGGCCAGTGTGGCAGATGTTCAGATGGTCTGGGGGAGGGTACAAGCGTGGGAGAGATAACCCAGCAACACTGGAGGTTACAAATAGTGCTCATGTGATTGTGGGGTGCTTGGCAACTGATTGTAAGTGTGAACAGATTGTCAAACTTCTAGATTACAATGATACGATTGCAGAATTTCTGGAACAACCAGAACTTCCAGGACTGGTCCTAACCACCATTCATTCAGCATCAGCAGAACTTTGAAGGGTCACTAAGCAAATGGTCATAAGTCAAAGACTACCTAATAATGGTTAGCTTTAGAATATCTGCTGTTTAACTACTTTGGACTTTGTGAATCCTATTAAATTATTTAAAGAAAAGGTATTCATTATTTTACTATTTCCATTACAGATTCAGTGTAGATGAAGGTCAAACTTGGAGCACGCATAATTTCACAAGTATTTCTGTGTATGTGGATGGCCTACTTAGCGAACCTGGGGATGAGACTTTAGTCATGACGTAAGTACCTTTTATTGTACCAGCCCACCAACTACATGGAAAAAATATAAATGTCAACAATTAGAAGTGTTTAACTTAATGTAATGAAACAATTATCCAAGTAATTAATTTAGGAACACATCCAAGATCTTCATTTTTTTGTTGGACATCTTTAAATGAAATGAAAGCAAATTTAATTTATGATAATTAAATGGGAGAGTACGTGTGGGAAATACTTTTGATAATGTATTCAGTAGAAGAGTAAAAGGAATGTCTTAGATATAGAGATAATAGATAAATAGATATCTGACTAAACATACATTAGTTCAAAGCTAAACACAGATAAGCCAAACTTTCTGTTGTGAAGTCAAGGGATTATAAATGTTCAAGAAAGCAAAATCCTTGACTACCATATTGTCTCCATTGTTGATTATTACAGTCTTTTCTTTAGTTCTGTTATACTTAGGCACTGAGATATAGATATGCAGCTCCAATTAATTGCTAATATTTAAAATATAACACAGAACAGCCTGATTATGAAAATAGTTTCATGTACTGAAGAGCCGTGGTGGCACAGTGGTTAGATTGTAGTATTGCAGACTAATTCTGCTGACTGCCAACTGCCAGCATTTCAGCAGTTTCAGTCTCACCGGCTCAAGGTTGACTCAGTTTTCCATCCTTCTGAGGTCGGTAAAATGAGGACACAGATTATTGGGGGCAATATTCTGACTTTGTAAGCCATTTGGAGGGGGCTGTAAAGCATGGTGAAGTAGTATATAAGCAGGGCTTGGATTCTACCGGTTATTACAATTCTGTACAGTTCGGAGAACCAGCAAATCGTGTCCCTGGCTGACCCCTCCCCTCACCACCCATTCAGTCCTTATCATGCATGCACAACATAACTGACTGCATTCTCCTCTGCCCGCCCCGCTCCGCCCAGTCACTCCTTATAGTATTTCTTTTTCCCCCACTCCTGACGATCAGCTTTTCCGACAATCAGCTGTTCTGACAATCAGCTGTTCTGACTATCAGTTGTGCCGGGATCCCCCTTGCTGTTTTACTGCTTCGCCCAGGAGGCCTCCCTGAGGCCCAGGAGCCAAAAAGGGGCACGGAGGGGTTCCTGCGCAGCCCCTCCATGCTCCAATTTTTGCCTCCTGGGCTTCAGGGAAGCCACCTGGGTGAAAAAATGCCTCCCAGGAGGCTTTCCTGAGGCCCAGGAAGCAAAACAAATGGAGTACAAGGGCAGGTGCTGCAAAAAAAGGAGAAGAAGCCACGCCCACCCAGTCAAATGGCCACGCCCACCTAGTCATGCTCACAGAACCAGTAGTAAAAATATGTGCATCCCACCCCTATATATAAGTCTAAGTACTGGTATTGCTACTGATTGCTCTTTCATTCAAAGTTACATTAGCACTGGAAAAGGAGATGTATGAGAGGTCCTTGTGGGTTGTGGTTTACTGTAGTCACATGATCACAATTTGGGCGCTTGGCAACCAACATACATTTACATCCATGATTGCTATTTATGGCCTCAGCTGGCTTCCAACAAAGCAAAGTCAATGGGGAAACTGGTAGTAAGTCACAAATCACAATTATATCACATCATATGATGCAGCCAGAACTGACATTGTAAGTCAACATTCATCTTACAACCACACTCCATAGTGATTGAGTTGTTGGTCCAAACTGCAGTCAGTAGTGAGAACTACCTTTTATTTACCAGCCAACCATAGCAGAAGGTATTCCTTATTATAATCTTGTGTTTCACTTGCAGTCTTTTAGTTGGGACCTCACTCAGATTTTTTTTCTCTTTAGGGTGTTTGGACATATCAGCTACCAGTCAGACTGGGAGCTAGTGAAGGTAGATTTCCGCCCATCTTTTCCCCGTGAATGCACTGATGAAGACTATGAATCATGGGACCTGACAAATCTGCAGGTGCAACTACATAGAAAGAAATAACTATCATATTTAGTGATATTTCTTTGTGTAATACTAAAACATGTTTAGTATTATCTGTATTAACTGCGCTAAGGCTATGGTTCAGTTAAAGATAAGTATAATTTGTCTAACTGAACTGGTTAAGAAACCAGCACATCAAACTAAAACTTAATTTTGAGTTAATATCTAAATTCTAAATGAAATATGATTTTTACAGACCTCAGTTTTCCTATTTGAATAATCTGGAAACTTATAGCATGGTTTCATTCCATCAAAAACAAGAAACAGAGAAAAGGGAGAGTATTCAGGTCACATAGCTTATGTATGTGATACAATCTCAACTTTTGTTTCACTGAATGTAGCTTGATTTCAAAATAGCCAGGCATAGGATTATACTAAATCCATGGCTTACCAATTACAGATGAAACAGACTGCTGTGAGAGAATAGCTTGATTTCTAAGACTATGTTCTGATATTCCAGGAAATTCATACCCATAGAAAGCATCAAAAATAATCGTTCTTGATTAATTAAAATCAAGTTATATATATTAAAGGCATAATTTCCGATTTGAATATGTAGCTCAGATTTATTTAAGAAAGGTAATATGGCACCAGTTATCAGATAGCATTTTAATGCAAAGCAAAAAAGTGGGGGGAGAGGTGTTTCGCAATACAACATAGACTACAGAGTTTTCAGTTAAGTGAACATAAAATCAAATCGTTAGTGGTATGATTTGTTTATAGTTAACAGCACTGCAAAATGAATAGGGTGAAAAGTATGCAAAGAACAATTTCAAACTAGTATTAAATTCTACAACAAAGGCTGTTGTCTAGCTCAAATATTTACAAATATGGCAGTGTATGCTCCTTGATTTAACTTTAGCTGGGTAAGTATGTGTAGGTATTTTATTAAACTCAATAAACACATACACATTAAACATGCTGTAGACTGGACTGGCAAAAGTTTAGTTGATTTGGAGATAAAGTATTTATTATGGACTGAATATGAATAGGTTTCAACAATCAGTCTCTTAATTGCCTATAATTGATGTCACACCAGTTAAGATTAATGGATCAAGATATGTTTAAGATACAAAATTTAGGGAGAATTTATTTTTGACATAGCCAGCAAAGAAATAGAGGTATGATTTGAGCAATAGGCATACTTATATTTCAACTTGCTTAGTACAATCAAATTAATTGAAAGTGAGGAAAAATGCCCTGTATTAAGTCTACCTCAGTATTGCTACACTGGAAATAGTTCTGTGTAGATTTAGACAAGAATGTTTCTCAGTGGAAGTTGCACAGCCCAAAAATTGAGCTTGTTGTCGTCTGTTGCATGAGATCAGTCACTTTGTTTTAGCATTTAATTTGTTTCTCCTTTCCTTCACACACATGTGCCTATAAACATTGCTATATTTTCTGTACTAAATATTAAGATGTGTTAAGCTCCCTCACAATAGACAATGTGTATTTATAACCAATACAAGAAATGGAAACAAGTAAGGATTTAAATTGTGTTATAAAAGATCAGTTCATGCAATCTGCATGTGAAACACTTGTTAGATTTTATACCTAAAATTCAGTTGACAATTCTTACTGAATTCTGAAAATTAGTCCAAGAATTGGGAGACAAATAAATAACTTTATCTATCAGCTATGAGAATTAATCTTTAATATTCAGGGTGACCATTGCATAATGGGCCAGCAGAGAACCTTTCGACGGAGGAAGAATTCATCATGGTGTATTAAAGGAAAAAACTTTATGTCAGCACTTTCTTCTAAAGTTTGTGAATGTAGTTCTTCTGATTTCTTATGGTAAGTTTTTCTCTCTTTCTGTCGCCTCAAGTGGCCAGGTTGTTAATATTCTGTATAGAGTTGGGCATACTGAGCAATCCAGATGGTCCTTGATATATGACTATAATTGACATTACGGTAATAAATCATGATGGTCATAAAGTGGGTCACAAACGATTTGCCCATTTTTATTACCTTTATTGTGGCAGTCATTAAGCAAATTCCTTGTTTAGTATAGGCAAGGTTTTGCCAGAAACCAGAAGAAGATGCCAGTTTCTGACAAAAGCATCGTATATCATGGCCATTGGGTGCAGCAAACAGCTGTAAATATAGGCTGGTTGCTGAATCCCCAGAATTCAGTCACATGACTGCAGGGTGGAGTTGACATCAGAACTTCAAACCTGGGTTGCAAGTCCCTTTGGGGGAGTCTATTGCAATTTTGAATGATTGCTAAGTAAGTCAAAACTACCTTTATTAGCAGAAATTATGGTTTTTATTTGTTTGGAAGAGAACAGTTATCTTCACAAAAAAGAAAGGGACAATATAGCCAACATTTCATTTATTTTATGTCAGTCCCAAAACAATCAGTATGACAGTTCACAAATAGATCATAAAGATTGAAAAAAAAACTTCAGTAGAATAACAATGATTTTTTTATCCATAAACACAAATTTGTTCCACCAACAAATGACCAGGTTGAGCCAGGGGAATATTTTTCAGATGGATATCATTGTGAAGTCATTATTGAAAATGACAGCATGGGGACTTGCCCTGTTTAATTCTTAAAGGTGGTAAAACCAGAAAATAGATTTGGAGATATCAATCTGCATGAATATGTAGGATTATCTACCCCAAAGCTATTGTATCAGTTAAATGTTTAGGTTTTAAAGGTTTAAAAAGTGGAAAGCGGATTGCCCAGGAATAGCACTTTGTGTATTTCTGTTTGCAAAGTATCAGATCTGTCATTTTGAATTATGCTTGGAGATTAGGTTTTAAGTAATACAGAAAAAAATATCTTGGTTTTTGTTTGCTTATTAAAGTTATTTCCTGCCCATCTTGTATCGAAACAACTCTTGGCAGAGTATACTGTATGCCTATGGTATTTTCTCTTCTATTTCAGCACACAGCATTCTTTATTTCTTCAATATACATCCTGCGTATTACATTTTAATAGATTTAATACAAACTGAAAAAGTCCTATTCAGTTAAATATGGCCAATATCTAGAGAAAACGATCCCATATAACCTGAATCATATCAGCCCTCTGTAATAAGACTGCCTTGTCTGAAATAGACTTGTAGACCATGAGGGAACTATGTGTCTGCCAGCACAGCTGCTGGTAGCAGATTTATTACAGGTGGCCACCAAGGCTGGTTGCCAGAACCATCTGCTCCCCTTGAGTCTGCTCTTCAGAGACAGCCTGAGGAACTTAGTTTCAAGAGGGATTTTCTGTCTGTGTTAGACATTCTTTTCTCCTTTGAATTTAAGCTGGATATCACAGCAGTTCGTAACAAAAGAAGGAAGGGCGGAAATTAAGACCTATTTCCCTTCCAATTGCTCATATGGTCTCCAAACTTATGGAACGTTCTAGCCTCCCAGAAAGGTTTTATTCCTTTATAAATAAAATTGACTAAATGATTGTATACTTATTCATTATTTCTCATGCAAAGAGAATAAATCTGGTTTTTATAATGGGGACTTATTGCTGCTAACTTGAGTGCTGATAAGCTCCTGCTGAACTCAGCTGTCAAAACTATAAAGACATGCCTAGAAAGTTAGTTTATTGGCCAATATGAAAAAGCTATGGAACCCAAAAGATATCTGGTAAAATATACCATCCCAAAAGGATACAAATTATTTCAGCTGTAATTCATACAGTTTTGTGTACAATAAAAACATGTTTGTTATTATTATTCTGTAGTGATTATGGATTTGAACGTTCACTATCAAAATCAGAGCCTAACATGTGCTTTGCTGACTTTTGGTTTAATCCTAAAGTCCCTGCTGAAGACTGTATCATAGGAAAGTCCTTTAAAAGTAGCACAGGGTAAGTAAGTGAATATTTAGCTTGGAAAATAGCTCTCTATTTTCCTTTCTGCCTTTTATCAGTCTCCTTTACAAATTTCTAATATGATAGAGGCAAAAATTATTATTTATTTTTAATAAAGTATTTTGATTTTTGAAAGAAAAATTGATGTGGAAAGTTTCTGCGTACTATTGTGCCTTAATGAATGCTCCTCAATCTGTTCTGGGATTGTAGCCAGCCTTTTGGGCAGTTTGAATAACGAGTTCTGACTTTGCCAAGTCTTCACGGGGTCTTGTATTTTTAATTATTATACACCCCATTTTTTAAATCTTTGAGGGAATTACTGGGCAGTATACCAACATTATGATTAAATAATTATAAACAAAAACATGGTTGGTTGGGAATCCCTTACAATTGCCCTGGTACTGTTTTGTTTTAAAATTGCCCCAATCCTGCTTCTGTAGTAATCTTACAAGTATAAGTACAGAAAATACCGTATGTAACATTACATGTCCATCCTATCATTTCCTTCTGGCCTAACAAAGCAGAGTGAAATAGCAAGCTAAAGAAATGAAAGGCATAAGAAAATAAAAAAGCAAAGGAAACATAGCACATATCAACAGCATTCCCATGCTTTCTATCCTTGTTTCCAATATGTCCATACATTGCTTTATAATTTGCTGCTATTCTTTCAAGTTCTCATCTCTCTTTTTAGCTTTTCATCAATTATGCAATTGTTACTTATGTATGTAGTTCACTGAAGTAATTTTTATCTGGATTGCATTAATCTGGAATTTTGCACATTTTTTTCTCAAAACTATTTCTGATCCTTTCATTATCAGTATTATTGGAGCATAACATGTCACTATCACCAGCCTATGGATTTCAACTTTCACATGCAAACCACAACAACAACATAGGTGACACTATACATTGTGGCTTTGGTTAAATCAAGGCTTCCTCATACTGCTTTTTAATAATGTCAATAAGATATAGACTAGCTTACTAGCCTTACTCCCATGCAACATTCAGCCTTTCCTGCCAATATTAAAACAGTATCAAATATTTACCATATTTTGACCAGCATGCTACCAAGCCCAATCAAAATCCAGTTTTAGTTGAAGCATGTTTATGTTATTTTTATGGAAACTCGAATCTCCAGCATGGAGATTGCAATCTAACATGTTATAGTTTGCATCCTAGCAGTTAGGAGCTGTATGTGGTATACTGACAGCATGCTACCTCTGCTTTTTCCTAAATATGTTGTGTGAACATATAGGGTTGAATCCAAATTAAGACTTTGCTCTAGAGCAGGGGTGTCAAACTCAGCATCATGGCATCATCACATGACGTATGGTGACTTTTTTCCTTCTTAACGCATCTGGCCCACATGCTGGCAGTTTGACAGCCCTCCTCTAAAGCAGGAGTATCTGCTCATATATATCCTTTTCTATATCTATTGATCAGTTGTGTTCCTCCCTCAGATATGCTCTCCTTTTTACTTCTTCCTACAGATATCGTAAAGTTGTATCTAATATATGTAAAGGAGGTGTGGATTTACAAAAAAATTCTTCTCAGCATGTGTGTCCACTAACTGCTCCCAAAGGATTGCAGATCAGCATTAAAGGGGAAAGCCTAGCCATTAAGCCCGGAGAATATGTCACCTTTATTGTCAAACAAAATCAGGTATTATTGGAATTTCCCCTTTATGGAAGTCAGAAAAACCATAATTGTCCTTTTAACCTGAAAACAGGGTTGCACTAGAATTTGTCCTACAATGTATTTTGTTTCCTTTCTGTTTTTCTACTGACTTATCATTCTCTTTATGTGAAGGTAAAAACTTAAGCAGCCTCCTTCTCTTACTTCACAGTTTTTCCCCCAAAGCTCCTATAAGAGACACCTCTCTTTTTTCCCCCCACTGATACAAAAAAGGGAGATGGGAACTATGTTATAACCTTTACTATCTGGCAGGCTAGCATGACAGTAGTGTATATTAGTATGAAAATTAAGTAGTTGGCTTAGCAGCAGGAGATAGTATGTGAGTCACTGAGGGCTTTCTTCCTTTCCTAGGAATAAAGTAATTGAGAAATAACTGAAGGTAGTGTCAGTAATCAAGAAACTTCCTCTAGCAGGAAATGTTCAAACCGCAGAACAGTTAGTGCCAAAATTTAAATTAATTATTAGTGAAGAGGATTTTAATCATTTCCTTTTCCCAGAAAACAGGAGTAACTCTAACTTGAAACATCATGGGAAATATGCCACTGCATCTATATCTGAATGTTGATAAGAACTTCCAGACTAAGATTATTGAAGCATAAGGTATTATGACTTTAAGGGACATCATTAGTTTACAGGTGCCTGCCTCCAAAACTATGTAATTGTTTGCATCTGTTTTGTATGGTGCTACTGCTTTTTCATATGCTACTTGAAGTTGCTTAATAGTGAACCCCAGATTTCAAATAGAGGCACAGGGCAAGGATGGTATCAGAAGTCAGGGACCCTATAGCCCTTGGCAGCCTGGTAATAGTGGGAAACACTGAAGAATTAGTGTTAAATGGCTTCAAGCATTTCAGTGATAAATTGCGAGCAGGACCAAGTGAAAAACAGAATGGCTTCAGTGTCCTTTTGTTTTTGTTTTGCTGGCAAAGAAGCATGGGGGTTTTACAGTAAGTTTCAGCTTACACAAAGGCAGTTAAGCAAAAACTGCAAATAATAATAAACATGATTGTCACATATTTTGTTGCTAGGAAAAGCATTGCTTGTGAGATACCTATGTTTTTCCTAGACCTTAAGGAGTATTGGAGACTGTTGATTTATTATGGTGAATTTGGAATTGCTTATAAAGGGCAGGATTGTGTGCAGTGCATGCACATGTAGAGATTGTTGATAGTGTTACCATCTTAAATAAAATAGTATAAGCAGAGCAGAAGTAGCTTTGATATCTAATGCAAATTTGGGATGCCTTCAAAAGCAGATCTGAAAATCTTTGACTAAATGAATGGATTAGGAAGCTTCTAGTAGAAGTGACTGGTAATAGGTTTACATGCAGGTCATATGGAAAAACTCATGCCCCAAGAAATTGTTCAATTCAACTATATAGCTGGGTGAGAATCCACTGTAGTATGTAGCAAGCTAAACAACTGAAGAGCAGATGCCTACATGAACAATTCAGGCAGAATGTATATCCACAACCATTTGTTACAAGATGCTTGCGCGACACAATGGGGTGAAAAAGGAAGCAACAAAATTCAGGACCAATTACATGGCATACCCTGCCATATGTCAAAAACATTTTGGAAGCAGTAGAAAGCAGCTTCCAAGTTGTGCAAGTGGGCATCTTAAACTGGCCCGAGACTACCATACAAGGACATATTATGCATTGCAAACATCGCTTAGAGGTGGGAGATACTTCTAATATAATTAGAAGTATCCCCTGCATGGATTGCCCCAGTGACTGTGTAGGATAGACATGGAGAAAGCTATCCACCAGATTGCAAGAACACAAGCGAGCAGTCGGATGAGGAGACCCTGGTAACTTCACATTGCAATGAACAAGGACATACATTCAATTTTGCAGCTGAGATACCATGAATTTTAAAATACTTTTAATAGAGCTTTGAGAAATGCTGTTTATGATGTAACAGAGACAGCAATCAGTTCAGAGAATGGTTAACATTAAGCTTCAGAGCTGCCAGTATTGATACATAGGTTTATACATAGTTTTGATTGCTTCCCTCTTCCATTTTCTCCTTATTCTTGGTTTTCATAGGGTGATACTTTAAACACCAAGTACCAAGTGAACTTTGGAGATGGCATTAAGGCAAATTATATAAACCTGACACTAACAGGTGAAACATTTCAACACCATTATGAAAATCCTGGAGTTTATCATGTTTCTGTGGTGGCCAAGAATGCTGCAGGTCAAGATGAAGCTGTCATATTTATTCAGGTTCATCGTAAGTTTTATTTTATTTTTCGCATTTTAATTATTATAGCAGTATTAGTATAGTATTAACTTACTTATTTGTTACATTTGTATATTCCATTATAAAATGGCTAGCAATTTACAGTGGAATACATATTTCACTCTTGGAGCTTCTTAACGGTCAACACAATATTGGATTTTGTCCCTCTAGAATGGAAATGACTTTCTGATCTCAAGTTTATTCATCGGTCTGCTATTGTTATCAACACCAAACAATCTATGTTGAGAAATGGGAGGGATGCGTTTTGAATGCATCTTGGCTATAATATAAATCATAACATATATTTAGGTTATATCCATAAATGGATTCTGGTTCTGCCCTGTATATAGTCAGTGTAGTAGAATATTGAAAGTTGATCTAATATCTTGCTCAGATAAATGCTCGTTGTAGTCATAAAGGAAGTAAGGTAGCCTTCAAGATGAAAAATGGAACATCAATCCCCGTGACACCTCATTGCTTTTTGCATTTGCTGTCTTCTGCATATCACATTTTGTGCTAGCACACAAAATAAGTAGAGCAGAAACTCTGCTCTCACTTCTTGATACAACTGAATGTGGAGGTGAACAAATTAAAAAATGCATAAAATCTGGAGGTAAGTTTTTTTCTTTAAATGAAAAGTGCAGCTTACAGATCCATGAATTTGTTTGATCAAGTTGGGAAAGTTTCCTATTTCCAGTAAACTGTTCACACTTTCTTTTTATATACTGATATCAGGAATATATGACAGGGTTCTGCCTAAATTTAGTTTTGAAGGCAGTGTAGCAGACATCTCACCTGCCTCATTCCACACAACCAACACCACTTTCTCTCAGGATTGCTAATATTGCTTTGATTGCTGTTTTCAGTAATTACAGTTTTGAAACACAATTGAATCCTGATGATTTAATGTTGCAATATATCCAATGATGACCAATGAGAATAGATTCAGTTTTTGAATTTGTGGATAAATGAAGGGATAAAATCTTCAGCTTCTTTTAGAAAAAAATGTAATTGTGCTGAGAAAAGGAAAAGGAAAAACACAGTCCCAGCAAAGAAGTTGGACTTCTTTGGAAGTTTTTTATTCCTTATGTTCATCTCTGTCCAGTACTAGACATATGTTCATATATAGTTGGTGGAATTTCATGGGAGAAAGTTATTTAAAAATGGCAGGATATAAAGCCTGAGATTTGCAAAACTTTTGTAATTGTTCTAACATCTGTTGATCCTTCACTTTAGAGAACTATGTGACAAATATGCAGTATAGTTTTCTAATAAACACATTGTCAACAATAAGCAATTGACTTGGAGAAAAATGGTGATGTACAGTGCCAGGACTCCACTCATGAAATTAGCTTTAATGTACAGGGAATCTCCCTATAGAAGTGTAGGATCAGTGTCTCAGTCTCATGGTCCACAGACCACATGAACCCGCCAACAATATTGGGAAACAATAGTCCCTATAGCTCATGCAGGTTGTAACTAATAAATGCTGCTCCTCAGAAGGCAGCATAACCCTCAGTGTAAATAATACAAATGTAAAGCCTTCTCTAGACTTGGTCAGACAAGTTCAGAGGTTTCACAGTATCTTGTCCCCAGTGTTTGGAAACTCTGCAGTCCCCTAATTGAAAATTTCACGGTTCCTATTTGCTTCTATCTAGTATATATACACAATCCATCAGCTTTGGGTTTCCCCTTTCTGATTTGGGAGGAATATAAATACAGTATTTATTTAAGTCTTCCAAATAAAATAAATGCAACCTTTAAAAAAAACATCTTAATTAAAACATCTTAATTAAAATTTCAACAAGTAATAAAAACTTAAGACAATTTAATTTGTAGTGAGAATTACTAACATTAATTTTCTATTGAGCAATAAAATTTGATATAATTTAACTCAGTCCCTAAGGAAATGCTGTTCTCTTGAATTTGTTTTAAAGGTTTAAAAGATGTCCCTGAGAACCCTTATGCATCTTCAGAAGATGTATTTGAAAGCATAAGATGTTTGATAAATTAATGGCTTTTTAATTAACAGTTGGGACTCTTTCCAGCTCCACTGCAGGCTTTACATCTTGAAGTAGTTCCTGCCGTTGGCAGAAACCAGGAGGTGAATTTGACAGCCATTATCTTGCCAAGGAACTCTAACTTTACACTTTTTTCCTGGTGGATTGGAAACATTATTCAGGTATTGAATAATTATTGCCGCCATTTTTCCAACATTTGAACCGTATTATGCTAATTTCAATATGTATGTATTTATAAAATTTATAAGTATCTTAGTATCCTAAAACAATCAGTTTTATTATCTTAATCTATAGTTTTATTATTAAATATTTTTGAAGGTTTGACATACTGTACTTCCTCCATATTCACTTCAGCGCTGCAATTTTAGTGAGAAGAACAAATTGCTAAGATTCTTAAAGAGGTTCTTTGAGTGGCCATCTTGCACATACTCCAACCCTCTGCCCATGGCAGGAGATCCTATATAATTCTGGACAAATGGATGTACTGTGTCTTCTGGAAAACCTCCAGTGGTAGAGCACTTACAACTTCTGGAGGGAAGCCTGATTAATTGTTCTCATCGTCAGGAAATTCTCCTTAGTACTAGGTTGGATCTTTCTTTAATGATCTTCTGCCTGTTACTACTTGTCCTGCTCTCATGTACTTTGGAGAATACGAATGTTCACTCCCTCTTGTGTGTGAAAACTCCTCAAGTACTGGAAGGCTGCTATCATATCACTCCTAGTCCTTCTCTTCATTAGACTAGACATACCTAGTTCCCTTATGTTATGTTCATGTTATCCATTCCCGTAATCATCTTTGTTGCTCCTTTCTGCACTCTTTCTAAAGTTTCAACATCTTTTCTGTATCATGGTGACCAGAATTGGATGCAATATTCCAAGTGTGGTCTCACCCATGCAGTATAAAATAGTACTAAAACTTCACATGATCCATGCCTCTATTGATGCAACCTAAACTTTCATTCGCTTTTTTGACAGCTGCAGCACACTGCTGGCTCATACTTAAGTAAGGAGCTGCTTATACACTCAAAAGCTAAGGCTGGCAGGCACATTGAGATTGTTGGTGTGAAAGCAACATAACAACCTGCAAAATGCTACTGCCAGAACAGTTTACTGTTAGGCATTTTGTTCTGAATGGGACTTTGAGTGTAGCTTTGAACTACTGAAATGCTAAAAAGGTTGTTTTTGTTCTCAAACCGTGCCCCAGAATGTTCAAGGGGCTGGAAAAAATAAACTTTACCAAGTTCTCTATACCTTTGGAGAGCCCAGTGTTTGCCTTCTGTTACTCTCTAGCCGGCTTCCCACTTCTCTGTGTGCCAGGGTCTCTGCCACAACTGTAGACTGTTTCCTCCTTTTCAGTATTTAAACCTCACAAATGCAGCTTACCTGTAAAAAAAAAGGTGGGAACTGATAGGGATGAGCAGGTCAAATAAAGGAGGGAGGCTTGGATTTTGGTCAATTTCAAGTTGACTGGTAGATCTGGCAAAGACTTCTGTAACAGCTCTCTAATGCAGAAACAGCATAGCACTGTGTGTTGCAAGCTGGGGTTGGTTTTTTTAGCAGTTCAGACTGTACTCCTGAGTGCATGAGATCATTTCGTTCACTATCCATAACTCCCACTCTTGATCTGGGGAGTTACTTAGTAGTGAATAGTAAAGGTTGTCCTATTAGAAATTACTGCCAATCCTCAGTTTCACTAAAAGGAGATAATAGCAACATTTTCACTCATGTAAGTGTGACTATCAGATAGTTTAACCATTCGCAATAACGGTGCTCCAAGTGAACTATGATTATGACATGTTTGTTTAGCAATATCCCACAACATGCCTGTGACTCTCATTAATGCTTACAAACATAGTCGTTCATTAGATGTCTAGTTAATTTTAGAATTTTTAAAGAAAAATATTCCTGAACTGTGGCAATTTGATAAGAACACGTAGTGAATCTAACCCTGAATTGGGAGTCCTATATGTGAAAAAAAAAGCTTCAATGCAAGAAACTTCTGAAAAAGAAGGATAATGCATTGTGAAAAACAATCATAAGGTACATATTTATAATATAATATTTATATATAATATAATATTTAACAGAGGGAGAGAATTTAGAGCAGTGGTTCTCAACCTGTGAGTCACGACCCCTTTGGGGGGTTGAACGACCCTTTCACAGTGGTTGCCTAAGAGTCTAGATTCTAGAGCATATCTTTGGTGCAACATACCTAGTAAATCGAAGGCAATAGGATTCTGTTCCCATCAGTGGCTATTTTCCCATGCAGCCCGCGATAATAGATGCACAAGTTTATCCAATCGGGAGGCAAAGTGCGTCTTCGCTTTGCCTCTTTGGCAAGATGTTGATTGACTTGGGGATGAAGCCTCACGATAAGAGAAATCACGGCCGAGGGAAAAGACTGATGTCCTTGGGCCTGGAGCGTTGGCTTCTCCTGCCCTTTTCCAAGATTGGTGGCTTAGCGACTCCTGACCTCCCTTCCAGCTCTTTCGGGTGGGCTTCGGTCTTTCTGGGCCGGAGGGGTGCTTGGCAGAGCCCAACCCCCACCCACCCACTTTGGTCCAAATGGCTCCTTCCTGTCCCTGACCCTCCTCCCCTGCTCTGCCCCCCCTGTGCCCCCCCAGTTCTCTCCTTCCTCCCCCGCCAAGGAGGGCAGGGACCCGCTTTTGCTGCCAGAATCCGAGAGCTGGTTGGGTCCTAAGGGTCCATCTGGCCCACTCGCCCTCTGCGCAGGGCAGAGGATTCTGGACGACTTCCCATGGGGACCTGCGCTATTCCCCGCTTCAACAGCATCCAAGCCTTGCCAAAGGACATCCCTTCCCCTCCCCACATTTGGGCAGGGGGTTGTCCCGCATGGCTCCTGCCCTGCAAGTAAGGCAAGGGGGTGCAGCCGGTTTCAGCATTTCAGCCCTTGGCTGAGTCTTGGCGGTCTCATTCAGCCTTGCTTCGAGGCAATCTTTGGGCAGCCCTGGCCAAGGTCAGAGCAAGGGACTCCAGAAAATGCACCCCGAGATCGGCCTTGCCTTTTTAGCTGCTCTGCACCCCACTCCTGGCTCCCATCCACTCCGGAGCCTCCACAGGTACCCCCAAAGAAGTCAAGGCTGGAGCCACTACGGGGCTCCTCTCATTTTCAACCCATAAGAAACTGAACCCCACCGCCTCTTTCAGCGGGACCCTGCATCTGCCGTGGCTCTCCTTCCTCCTTTTCCTTCTGGGCTCCGCTTTGCTTAAGCCCCAGCCCAGTCCTGAGGTCTCCTGCTGCTTTCCTGGTCCCCCATCTGCCCTCCCTGCCCTGCTGCTTGGCCCCCCACTGAAGAACCCCCCGTTGGCCCCGTGAAGGCGGCCCTTCGGATTTTTCCATGCCCTCTGTTGAGGAATGTATAGCTCTTAGACCAGCGGTTATATTAAGACTGTTACCCATGCTACACCATGCTTCAGGACAAAATTTCATTTATTTGTAATGAGAAATAAATATTTCACAATATATAATTATGTTCAATTTGCAACAATGAAAATATATCCTGCATGTCAGATATTTATATTATGATTCATAACAGTAGCAAAATTGCAGTTATGAAGTAGCAATGGAAATAATTTTATGGTTGGGGTCACCACAACATGAGGAACTGTATTAAAGGGCTGTGGCATTAGGAAGGTTGAGAAGCACTCCTTTAGAGGATTTAAAGACTGAGAGAAATTAAGAAACTTCTGTAATTATGTAGTTGTCAGAGACTATGGAGTAGAAATTCTAAAATTAACTAGACACCTACTAAACTCCTATTGATTTTTGATTGTGGTTAAGTCCAGATCAAGAGTTCAACTCCATAGTCTCTGATAGCCAGATTAATGCAGGGATTTCTTGATTTCTTGTGTGTGATTCTGTTGCCCAGGAAAAATCAATATTAGGATATTTATATCATTATCAGACATTTATATGCCCTTCATCTACCAGTGAAAAACTATAGACAGTTCAAATAGGAATCTTTTAGATTCAGTTACTTTCTTCCAGTTGAAATTAGTTTTTACCATGTTATACGCTTTCTGCTTCTTTGTTTTAAAACTACATGTGCTTGCAAGCCGTGGCAAGCAGCCATCTTCCCCTCTCAGACCTCTTAGAAATGTTGAAACCAAAGGGATTCATTGGAACTAAGTAGTTTTGGGGCTCCGCCAGGCAAAGCATCCGGTCATCAATTTAAAAAAAAAAAAGGAGGGAGAGTTGCTCAAGAAAAGGTTTTGCTGCATTTTTTTCCAGTTTTGAAAAACTGAGTGGTAGAAGCTTGTAAATATGAGGCTTATGAAAACACATTTTTATTTAAATGAAATCATGAATTGTATTATAATTCAATATTTTATTCCACATTCATGACAATAATACAGTAATACTAATATTACTGATAATATTGTATAATGTTTTACTTTTCACATACTTAAAATCAACATTCCTCTGTTTTTTCAGGTAGCAGACAATACTAAAATGTGGAGATTTTCACCGCATTTTAAACCCTTTTTGCTGTAAAGGAAAAAAGGTTTCATGGTTTCCCCCTTTCTTTTGTTGAAAAATCTAAAATTCCTGCTACCATTTGGAAAAAATAGATAGATGAGGGAAGGTGTCTGCATGTTCTAGTGAAGAGGTAGAGGTAAATAGGCCAGATCAAGCAAAACACCTGTACTTTGTAAGTTGTGTCACAGTTGCAAACTTAAATGGGCCCTGTCACCTGTACATTTGTTGCTTGATTTTTTTTAACCTCTCAAAAACTATTGAAAAGAAACCACTTTAGAGGCATGATGTTGATGTATTATACCTGAGATGAATAATTCTGGGGTTTATGATTTTCTACTTATAATTTTTACCATGAAGATTTTCCTTTTTGTGTGTTTCATTGCCATAAATTACCAAATAAATTATTTACAGCAGGTGGCAAACCTAATAAATAAATGTGGGGGTTTTATGAAGAAAAAAATAAAATTCTGGGTCAAAGGTAACTAGAAATGAAGCCTCCTGATTTTGAATCCTTCACCTTAGTTGTTGACATACTAGAACAATCTTTGTTACTTATTGCTAAGAGAAATTACCTGCATGCCTAATGACTATTTCCATAATTGAAACCCACTGCAGTATTATATCAATATTTAGTATTTATCAGCATTTTTGCTATTTTTACTTCATTATTTTTTTGTTTTTGTGATTGGTTGCTTTTTCCCTTAATACTAACAGTTGATATATGGAGCAGAGCAATTAATGGTGGTTACCTGCTTCACAGAATAAATATTCTGAGGATAATATGGTTTATATGCATTCCCTGATTTTCACTGATGTCTGTGATATTTTAGTGAATTTCCAAATTATGGGGAAAATACATTATTGTTGGCAAACCTTTTAAACACCCCAAAATTGAAAATGAATATTCATAGTTGGGAACTTTTTGGCTCACATTTATTTTTTGTCTATCACTTATTTTCTTCAGCCAGTTCTTTCATTGGAAAATTTCTTGATAACCAGCTTTGCTGAAGCAGGCAAAGTCAGAGTTACAGTTCAAGCTTCTTGTGGAAATTCTATGCTTCAAGATTCCAAGATTATCCAGGTTTTGGGTGAGGCACCATCCTTTTAATGATATTTAGTAATCATATGTTCTTATCATCCTCCTGCAGGTACTGTGAGTTTAGAGTGAAGTTTATAATCTACAGCCATTGCAATTGCTGTGAAAATGCAAGTCAGGGCAATTTTTGATATCTATTTAATTCTATTCCTCCCATGATTTATAGTTATGTAACTTGTTGTTGTAATATAAGGATATTTGTTTGATACACATGCATAATTACATTTATAGAATCCTTTGAATCGTTTTAGAATTGCTATTTTTAGAAAGCATTTTTTCAGTTATTTACTTGCACTATTTCTTCATATTTCCAGATCATTATCAAGTACTTCCATTAAGGTTTTCTGAACATCTAGATTTATACAACCCAAACATACCTGCTTGGCGGGAGGATGTTGGTCATGTTGTAACACAACGGATTGCCCAGGTACTCTTTTAGGTTATGGATGCCACCTTCTCAGATTGTAAACTAGCAAATTTAAAGGAATTAAAAGTTACCATTGTGGCAGAGGTTGATTGTTGTTTAGTACATTACTTTTGATAAGTATATGTTGGAATATTTCTTGCTACTGCTTTATTTTTAAAAATCAATACTCTGTCTCCTAAACTGTAGAACAGGGGTATCAAACTGGATTTCTTTGAGGCTGGATCAGCATTGTAGTTCCCCTATGCAGGCCAGCGGGGGAAGGGGGGAGATGGGTCAGACACCTCCTGCACCACCCTGTCGGATGAAAACGGGCCACGGGGGCCTCACGTGATATGACCTGTTTTCAGCATCCATGGCCTCCTGCAACACTCAGCCAGCCGAAAACAGGCCTGGGGGTGGGGGAGCTCATGCGACACACACCCCCCATGGAACCATTTTGGCTGGCAGAAGTACTGCAGGCCGGTCCTTTGATATTTCTAGGCCGGGCCCACAGGCCAGAACTAAGCATCTCGTGGGCCAGATCATAGTGGAGGGATTCCATTTTTTTTACTACTGGTTCTGTGGGTGTGGTTTTGTGGGCGTGGCAGGGGAAGGATCCTGTAAAATCTCCAGTCAGAGGTGGTATTTTCCAGTTCTCCGAATGACTCAAAATTTCCACTACCAGTTCTCCAGAACTGGTCAGAACCTGCTGAATCTGGCCTGTGGGATCTGGCCTGTGGGCCTTGAGTTTGACACCCCCGCTGTAGAACATTTACAGAAAAGGCCACCTGCTTTTGTTTTAGAAAAGTAACCCACAGGTTGTTTGCTCTTAATTTTAGAAAGCGCAAGAATGTCTGTATTAAAATTGGGTTGATACTTTTAATCTGGGACTAAATTTTATTGAATATTGAAATTTGGATGGGGAGGTGGGATTTAGGCACCATATAAGGTTGAGGAAATTCTTCTAAAAATGCCATGTAACATGCTGGAAAGTTCATGAAGGACTCTCTTTGAATCATTAAAGCAGCTGGAAAACAAGTCAACTGAAGTATGTACAAGGATAGACAGCTGGAAGCAGCTGCATCTTTTTCGCTGGAAAAAGATAATGGCTGTTTTAATAAGTCAAAGAGAGGTCTTTGTATATTCTCCTCTGTGTTGGCAAAGAACCTCTTTTGAAAGATTTTCCTTGTCCTAATAGACGTACTCCAATCATCCCCAATCAAAACTTTTGAAAAACTGTAAGATAGTTGGATTTAATGTATAAATTTTTGGAAAAATATTTTTGTAAGAATCTCAAATGTTTGGTTATTTTGATTAACATCTCTTCCCCCTTCTGACAAAGTATTTCTAATGTGACTACATAATGTCAGATAGGATGCAGTTTCTGTACTTACTGTATATCTGACTAAAATATTCAAAAATAGATCAAATTCAAAGCCTATAAAAACATCTCTAGTTGAAGATAGTCATCCAGATCCAATGTTTTTTGTTCTTTTAGGAAACGTGTTTACCTGAAGAAAGTCTTATGACAGTAATAAAACCTGGGCTACCCACCACTGCTGACTTTTATGTGCTTTTGTCTACAAACCACCCTGAAGGAAAGAAAAATGTATTTAATGATAAGGTACTCAACTAATGTATATTAACCTGTAATGAGTCATCTCTGCCTACATCTCATTCTTAATGAAATTAATGGGAAATCATTCTCTAATTGTATGGTGGTGGTAAGTTTTAATCTGAGAAAAGTGTTTCCACAAATTACAGCAGGCAGGATTTGAGAGGGAGACTCAGAGGACACTATCCCATTCTCTACATATCAGTTGTTTTTCTGTAGAGATAATGAGCTGCCTTTTGAGACACAAGAGAATCTTTGTTTTCTGGCTTTACTGTGAGCCAAGAAAAGTATTCCTTCATTCACTCAGGAGACAATGGAAGCAAAGGATAGCTTACTTTCTTTAACTAAGAAAAATATTGAACTGGAGAGGAGTAGGAATTGCAAACGGGAAGTGGCCTTTTCCCAGACTTCTAGGGACAGGCTACAGAAATCTTGAGAACCATATCAGCCATCCTGTGGAAATTCATGGTCCTTGTTAACTTTACAGTGGTGAAGCTATCATTCCATGACTGAGGTGAATTTTTCATGGGTGATGAAGTGCACAAGATAAGGGTTTCATATACTTCATCACAGTGGTCAGTAATACTACAATACTATCAAAAAAGTCATTAGTTCCTTTGGGCATCCTATGCTGTAGACATATTAGAGTAGAACGCTGCCTGAGTAGGCTGTAATGATACAGTAAGAATTGGGCTTAGATTCATGTGGCTACTAGACTATTACCTGGTTTCTTACAAATGTAGTTTTAGAAAAGATATAAGGAAACAGAAAACTATATGCCCGTAGACATTCTGCACTGGTACAAATAGACTCCCAACTTGCCTTATGATGTATTTTGTTTTATTTTTCGACAGCTGATACATAGATTACCCAAGAGGCTGGGTCTCCAGGCAAAAACATGATCCACTCTTCTTGGCTAATAACAATATAGAATTTATTATATGGAATCCCAATAGAAGGGTTGAAATAAAGGCAGGGATAGTAAGAATGAAAATGTCACTCTTCCAGTATCCTTTTTCTTGGCCTTGCCCTGGAAGCTAATCAGTTTGTACATAGAAGCAAATGGAAGCTTCTATATGCAAGCTGATTAGACAAAGCTTCCATCTGCATAAGTTGCATCTTCTTTTTAATTTTCTCTGTTTTTAGGATATGTGAAGCCAATTCCATCTCATTTCTTCCTTGTTCTGAAGTTTCTGAAACTTAATAGCATTAGAAATGCACTGATTTGTTATTCTCTATAACTTTTTTTTTAATTTCCAGCGGTTAGCTGCTATTAAACAATCTCTGAATGCCCAAAACATCAGTTTCTTTATGAGAGGAGGAAAACGGGTCCTTGTGGCATTAGGTAGTTCTGATTCAGGTAAACTACCTCTCCCCTTAGCCCTCTCCTCTCACCTGTTTCCCCTCCCCTCCTCTCTTCTCTTTTTGGACAATTACAGTAGTAGGGTTTTCTCCAGGGGAAATATTTTTCTAATATAGATAGTCCTCGAATTACCACAGTTCATTTAGTGACCATTCAAAGTTACAACGGTACTGAAAAAAGTGACATGACAAGTTTTCACAGTTTACAACCTTTGTAGCATTCCCATGATCATGTGATCAAAATTCAGATGCTTGGCAACTGGTTCATACTTATGCCCATTACTGTGTCCCAAGCTCTTGTGATCTCCTTTTGCAACCTTTTGACAAGCAACCTTAATGGGAATGCCGGTTTACTTAACAACCGAGTTACTAACTTATCAATTGCAGTGCTTTACTGAACAACTGTGGCAAGAGAGGTTGTAAAATGTGGCAAAACTCACTTAACAAATGTCTCACTTAACAACAGAAATTTTGGGCTCAGTTGTGGTCAAGACAAAGACTGCCTGTATTTCACCTAATATTGATGATAGATAATTCAGAATTATTTTGTGGCAACAGTCAGCTTTATATGGAATTACACCAAATAAAGCTTTTTGTTTGCCCTGCATTAATTTTTTTTTACTAAACTTGGGAACTGAAGGGCTATATTATGAAACTAGTCCACCAGGTAATTAAAATTAAGATCTATTTTAGCAAAGTCCAAGAATTGGAAAGAAATAGGAGGTGCACATGAAAGCAAGACTCAGGGTGTTGCCCTCCAGGTGTTGAATTTAAATTCCCAAAATCTTAAGGCAAAACATTGTGAAATCCAACACATTTAGAGAGTACACAGGTAGTAAAGGCTGATTTCATTGCTGCATCACTGTGAAAAAGGTGTACTCCAGTGAAAGTTACAGTTTGAAGAAATCAATGTTTTACAATAGATTAGATTCTGCTAAAGATTCCACTTACTAGGGTTTATCTTTAATTTTAGATTCTCAGAGCTTCAGAGGAAGTAATGGGTACTGGGTGATAATGGCTCTCTTTGTCATTTCACTAGTGGTTATAGGAGCCATTATCCTCTACAAATTTAAAAGGTAAGTGATCTTATACTGTATATCTACAGGCTGAAAAGACTATTGTTTATTATTTGTCAGATTCATTTTATTCACCCAAAAGGAAAATAACCATGAATTTACAAGTATCCTTTCCCAAAAGAAAGAATAAAAGAATATATGGATTTGTAGTTAAAAATGTTTTTTACTGCTTTTCTCAGCTTTCTTGCCCAGTCAACTCCAACTGAAACAAATTTTGGATATTTCCACCTCTCCATAAATACGTGCATACGACAGACTTCTCTCTATGTGTCTATTTATGTATGTATAACTGTCCACCAACATGGGACAAAAAATAAATTGCTAGTGATTAAATGCAGTTTCCTTGCCAATAGTTTTAGGAGTGTTTTGCCTTTGCCTTTGGCTCTTGTATTTTAGAGTACTTTGTCTATAAAATTAATTCATCCATAATTGATTAATATGCTAACTATTCTCTTGCATTCAGAATTTGGTGAGTATATACAGACATTTCCATACATACCTGTTCCTTCCAGCAAAAACAGAAAAAAACCCAGATAGGGTTTGGATGAAGTAACTATACTTTCTGATATGTTTATAATTTTTTTTCATTCTGCAATTTTAAATTCAGGGCCATCTTCCTTTTGGGTAAATATGGTGTGAGAGCATGGTCAAGTGATAAGAATCCATTCTACATGAATGAATCGAAATTTTTAATTGAATTCATTTAATTTAAGCAGCTAATGTTTTCATTTTGCCATGTGTTTCCATGTTTCCAAGATTGAGTAGCTGTATAATTTTTTTTATAGCAGCAAGAGTCCTTTATCTTCAAGCATCATATGTCTGTCATTAATGAGCAATAATCCATTAGACTCCAGTTCAATATAGGAAAGTGTTTTGAAGCTAGACATATACTTTACTAAATTTAACAACTCTTAAAATTTTCCTTTTGATGACTTACAGTGTTCAAAGATTACTATGGGAATGCATGACTGTGGCAACAGATACCTCTGTTATGCGAATTTTGTTTTCTACTAATGGTTTTCCTGTATTCAACTATGATGTAAGGTTGTGGACATCATGTCTATGGAGATTCTCAATCATTCAGTTCATCGTTGTCCCAGAGGTGTTTTTCGAAAAGGCAACTGGATTTTCTTGGGTTTTTTCTTTGAAAACATTTCTTCTTATCCAAGAAGCTTCTTTAGTTTTAATTGACTGGTAGGGAATGGAAGGGTTTATATTCTTTGCAGTCATCTGGTTGCTAGCATTCTGAGGGTCTTTCATTAGCTTTCAATTGGATCTTGTTTTAACGAGCTTCCATTCATTGTTTCTTTATGAAAAAAAATCAAAAATTATTACTGTATTTTTAAAAACACAAAATATTATTTTATTTATAATTTAAAATCATGAAAATGGCAAAAAGAATAAAAATCCTTGTATTTTAATGAGAAAATCATAATCTGTACTGGAAAAGATAGCTTGCTTTTTTGTATAGGTAACTATGGAATCTAGAGGAATTGGGAGCTCTTGTTGAACATGCCCCAAAGATGCTACATTGTACGCTCGAAAACTCTTAAGTTCCTCTGTGATAAGGTAAATACAGAGAATTGAGCAACACACAAGAATTCCAAGATAATTATCTGAATCTTGATGCCATTAGAGTTTTTAACCGTAGATTTACTTGGGATATTTGTATAACCATCAGAAATTATTTCACAGTAGCTCAGTGAAGTTTGAATAAACTCATAGACAACCATATTTGCAATGCTTCCACCTATAGGTCAATCTTGGTAGATCAAGGCAATGCAATACAATATTACGTTCTTATGCAAAAAAAACTATCTTATGTTCTAAAGGAAATTACCAGGGAGAAATGTCTATGCTCAGATGCAAAATGAAAAAGAACAAGAGATGACCAGCCCTGTAAACCACAGAGAGGATACCCAAAATACCCAGGGGGAGGAATTCATTGATGATGATCTTGATTGTCAAACTCTGGGAAATGCAAGAGGTAAATATAGAATCCCTTTATGAAAATAATGCATATATCTACTTGGTATTTAAAATGACACTATGCCAAATAATAATATTGACTTCCTCTTATTTTAGCTTCCACAAAATCTTTTCCAGTTATGTCAGATCATTGAAAATATGTTTAAGGGCCAGGTGCTCCCTGAAAAAAAACATATAGAAAATGCTAACAATTGTGATGATTACTGTAAAGCATGGTGCCATTTGTGACTGTTGTTGGAGATTTTTAGAAAAATGTATCTAGGCTGAAGTAATTAACAGGGCTAAAAGAATATTCAAGACTGAATTCAAATGTTGTTTGTGTTAAATGTTTTAAATATATACATTTACTCATTGAAGCAGGCACATTAAAAATGATCTGACAGCATAATTAATAAATGGGTGGAAGGGGATTCCCTTACTATTGGATGTATCAGTTGGATTGCTAGACAGTATAATTCAGCAGCATCTTTGGGACACACAGGTTCACCCTTCTATTTTAAATGATAGGGCAATTCTCCTTATATTCCCAACGCCTCTCATAAAGCGCCCTAACTGCTTCATAAAAGTTAACTGCTGTAAGACACTTCCATGGACATAGATCAATACCATGATCCTGGTTCCTGAAAATTAAATTGAACAATATTGACAAAGGATGCCTGAAATCACATAAAATACCAACCACTCACAACATTTGAGAGTGCATTTTTCCCTTCTTTTTTATTTTTAAGGTCATCTGCCCAGTGCCTGAAAAGGTTGATGATGCCTGGCCAATTTTGTCCTACGCTTTTACTAGTTTGATGTGGGATTATTTTACCACAGATGAGTTTGAAGCAGAGAGTTGAATGGAAGCAATGGAAGGAGAGGCATAGAATGAAAAAACAAACCTCTCCTTTTGGTTTATAGTTTATCTGTAAGGAGGTCACAAAAAGTGAAGATGACAGGCTCAGTGATGAAGCCCCAACTCCTGTGCAGTAGCTGTTGCCACCTTGATCTTTTGGGTGCTCCACCCCTCTTGCTGCTTGTCTAACCTGTTTCACGGATAGGATACGGTAGGATTGCTAGCTAAGATTGGAATGGGACAGTAGCCAACTCACTGCAGGACAACTCACCATGGCCAACTTGCCACGGGACAACTTGATGAGGAACAATTTAACAATTCCATTTCTTTATTTAAAATAAATAAACAATATTTTAATTTTAGCAATTTGCATTTCATTCTGTCCCTTCTTTTGCATTCTTTCTTTAATTATTCTATTTCTTTGATATTAGTGTAACCCTTGTCCCACAGCAAGTTGTTTTGCAGTGAATTGTTCCATAGTGAATTGGCTGCAGCGATTTGGTAGCAAGTTGGCAGTGGAAAGTTTGCTGTAGCAAATTGTCACAGACCCATCTAAGATATTCAGTTGGATTCTGATAACTTTTTCATACTAAGAGGCAAGAGTGGGTAGAAGGGAGAGGAAAGAAGGCTAATAATGTGTAAAAAATGTAATACAGGTAGTTAAGAGAATGTAAAATGGCTTTTTGCATCTCCAACTTTTGGGTATCACCAACTAGAGAAATGTAATATCATCCCAGAAATCCTAGAATAAATTTCTGAAAATGAAATAGAATAACTACAATCTAAAAATATTCTAATCATATTAAGAAGTTACATTACATAAAGTAGCCATGGAATAGCAGCAACTCATCAATGGATCAGAGTCGTATATTTTGATTTTTAATAATAGATATTTTTAACAAAACATTGAAGAAAATTGCTAAAGCCAGTAAGAATAGATACTGAAAATGCTTGGTTCTAGAATATATTGAAAAGGATGGAATAATTTTCTAATTGCCTTGATTTCTCAATTTCTTATTTTGCTCAGGGTAAAAATAATTTTGAAGACAGATTCATTATGTTTGTATTGCCAGATGAATCACATTTTTTTTTTTATAAAAGAGCCATTCCAGAATATTTTTTTCTCCTCTTCATTTCTATCATCTCTTCATACTGCTAACTTGGAACGTACTACAAGTTTGATGTGCATTCTCTAGCCAAACCTACTAATATGCTTTTGCACTGATTCCTGTGATATGCTCTGATTCAGCTTAGTGAAGCATAAATGTTTCACAGTGGATTATAAAGTGCTACTATACCTTACTGCATTCAGATTAGAACTAGAAAAACATGGGTTCAAATTCTCACAGATCCCTATAAAACTCAAGGGCTGATTTGGACCAATTATTCTTAGCCCAGCATAACCTCGCCTTTTCCCTATGCAGGGCATTTTATAAGTGGATTGTAACTTCCAGAAGTGTCAGTAAAGGCCATACTGCTTGGAAAGTTATGGAAATTAGTCCACAGTTCAGAAAACGATCATGCTTGAGGAAGCTTGGTCTAATGCAGAGGATATTGTAAGGGTAAAATGCCCTGGATTCATGCAAATGAACTTTTTATTTTAGGATTTCTTAACAATGGAAATTATTCTCTACCTCTTCTTACTAGAATTTTACATATTTGTGAGAAGGCTATTTCAATTCGAAAGGCCCTTTTGTCATCCCCGTTTCACTGATGAGATTGTTATTTTCTGCTCATAATATTAAGAAGCAAATAGGATTTTCTGTTTTCATAATTTTGGAAAAAAATGGCATATTTCTCAGCTCACCCATCCATTTCTGTTGTTTTTGTATATTTTATGTTGCCTACTTTCTCGCCATCCCCACCTTGGGACTCCTCCTCCACATCATTACCTTGCAGTGATTCCTTCTGGGAGAGGTGGAAACTTGAACAGCTACAGAGTTCCCTTATTGCTGATGGCAGTCAGTGTCCAGTCCCAGGTCAGTGTATGTTGAAGGAAGACAGTGGGGCCATCCTCCTTTCTCATCTAACTGCTTAAATCTGAAGGCTGTCTTTTGGCTCAGAGTTGTAGGAATTCGTGAGGATTCGACAATGGCCAACATTTTCAGCATTAAACCTCAAATCTGCTGCACCATTTCCACAGCCTTCCGCTGTGGTAGAATTATTCCTTGAATGAAAGGGGGGGTGTTTTCAATGCCCTACAATTTGCTAATCTTGGTGCTTTGTTTGTTCCATAGGCAATCTCTCAGGCATGGTTCTGAGCATTAGTTCCAGAGAAATGCACAGTGACCTGATTAGCTGATACAACTCAACCTGTATTCAAGAATCTTCTACTGTGGGTCCCTTCTTTCCTCTCTGAAGATTTCACTGCTAATGGGAAGGAGACTGTCTCGAAGATACAACAGCCATGTGTTATTTGGAAAACACAATAATACGCTTAATACGTGTTCATGGCTGCTGACATCAGACTAAGATAGCAGATCTGTAGCCCTAGGCATGTTTGCAACCACTTTGTCTGTCTCTGGGTCCCTTAGCTTATTTATGTTCACGTAATCAAACTCATTTCAGACTATGTTCACTATGGTGACATCAGGCTGCCATTCTTAAGGCATGAGGGTTAGTTTTAAAATAGTCGAAACAGAAATGGGTGAATATTTGGGATTTTTTTCAACAAGTTGGGATTGATATGGTAAATTTCAGAAGGGATGCATTGAAGAGACAGGGTGACCGGTCATTGGCATAACTCTTCAGGCCCACTGGGGATCTAGATAACATCTTCCTTCTGTTTCAGAATATAAAAACGGATGCTGATGTTAGAAAATGAGTAGAAGCTTTTTGTAATATATCACCAAAAGAAGTATTCAGCTTCATTTTGCTTCCAAGTCAGGTTTTTCCTAGTCTTGACACCCCCATCTTTTTGTCCACTAGACTGTCTGTTAGTTTGCAACCAACACCATTGAACAGCTTGGGCTGCCTTACCCTTTCTTTAGTTTCCAGAACAGCAAGTGTAATTACTTTTTAAAATTTCAGTAGTCTTTTTTTGTATCTTTTTACGCTTTCTATTTTTATAGCTATAAAAGCATTCTTATCTCAGGATAACGCTGTCAAAGCAGCCTATTTCAAATTTGCTATTTTATTCTTTTTTCCTTTTTCTACTTTGGGGCTGAACAAACTAAAAATATCACTGCCTTGGATGTGTTTGACAATCTGGTGAATCAAACTTAATTAATTCCATTTAAATAATTGCACTTTTTCAATTTCATCCTAAACATCATGCTTCATTTTTCAGACTGGAACTAAGTGAAGTCTTAGGCAGGAAATAATTTCTGTTGTTATTTAGAAGAACTGCAAGTTTAATTGTGAATATGCTTGTTTCACCTCAGTACCTTTATGGAGTAAAAAGTGCAGTCAGACTGGTGGTACTTGCTCAAAGAAGATACGTGTAGAAACTAGCCACAAATCGTCTAGAAAAAATACCCACGTACGTGCACATTTAGAAAGTGTTTCCGAATATCAATGAACAATCCTTACAAATCACTTGTGGTGCACTTATTGTATGTATTATTACATGACTGTGTCTCCAAGATGCCAATGAATTCTTTCCACTGAAGGCACATTCCATTTTGTATTGATGTGTTTTGCTCTCATGCATGCACAAAAGCAACCACTGCGGTACCATGTCAAGCACAATGCATTCAGGAACTGATCATTCCAGCAGATATAATGCTGCTGGAAATGAATGGCAACATTTATTTGCCACTTGCTCAGGATCTCTCTGTCTGTCTATGCAGCAGAGCTCCTAGTGGCCTGCACATTTTCTTATAAAAGAGCAACAACTCCCCACTGCCTTACTTGTACAGAGAATAATTGCAGTTGTAAAAATATGGAAGTCTAAATGTTAAAAGCAAAAAGGGGGGTTCCTCATAAATATTTTTATGTTAGGGATTAAGGGATTTTTATGTTTGGGATTAAGAACTCTTCATTTTACTGTTTATGGTATTGCTGGTACTGAATTTTTTTAAAAAACCCACATTTTTTGTGATGAAAAATTACTGGTCCACATTCATTTGGAAACATGTTTAAAAAGTAACCCTAGCAATGCAACAGGATCACAAATCTAGACTCCATGTTTTTACAAATCAATGAATGACTAGCAGTAAAAAGTACTGATGTACTGATCACAGCATGAACACCTAATTTTGTTATTTTCCTAAAATGAAAACCTGGTTTTCTAGCTCTGCTCTTCCACAACTGGAGATAGAATTAAATGAAGGGTGATCTTTGTTTGAGGTGTTTTACTTTATTGCTGTTCAGCAAACTTAGAATATGCCCAAATTCACACTTTCTGTTTCCTTGTTTGAGATAATGTCCGTTTTAAGGTGGGGCACTACAGTATACTACTGCATATTATTTGTGGTTACTGTAGATAGAGCTATAAGTTGTTACAAGCTTTACTGGAAGGAGCAGGCTCATCTACACAAATTACTGTTTTCATATTGCCAACTCTGACTGAAACAGGTGTTATTCATGTCAATATCTTCTGGACCCTATGCATGTATTCTTCTGCTCCTACGATCTCTGGTTTTAATGTTTCTCTAGCAGTGTTCATCCTCTCCTTCTCCCAATAAAGAGATTTTTGTTTCTGCAAACAAAAAGAGCAGGTTGGGATCTAGCCACTGCAAAGAAATTTTAGTCCAGATCATTTGATACAACAACTGCTTTGCTCTGTAAAATGCAATGGCAGTATTTTTAAGGCAACTTGCTTTCATTTTCATTTGGAAAACTGCTGGTTTACAACTTTGGTTGAGCCAACAAACAAATATTGGTAATTGTGTCTCTGCTTCTAAAAATGAATAGAAGCAATACCAGTCATAGGAATTTTTATAGAATAAAAAGACTGGATTCTTTAATATTTTCTAGCCTTAGATGCAGGTATCTCTTATATTGGCAGATTAGTTCTTGAGATAAATGTTGTTGCATCATTTGTAAGAAAACCACTTTGTACAGCATTTGTATAATTGAAATAGACTGAAACAAACCAATTTGGTTGCAAGAGTAGGATATTTTTGTGACACTGACAGTAGTGAGTCAAAAGTGGACTTGTCTTCAAAAGCAATAAATTTCACCAAATGCCAGCATTTTAAAATGTGGAGAAACAAAACTGAACGGAAAGAAACTTTTATTTTTCCTGCTGGCTGCTTTCTCATGCAGTTCTTTCCCTGCCTAGCTATCTACCATAGGTATATACTGTATTTCTTCCTGCTTTCCATTAAAGCTTTCCATGGATATTACAAACCATGATCTTTTTTGGGTCACACCTCAATATATAAAATCTAGTTTACCTTTTATTAAGAGCCAACGTAGATCTACAAATAGCAAGTTGCATCCTTGTTACCCCAGAACAATTTTTTTCCTTTGTTCCCAAGTCTGCAGAAGGATTACATCACTGATGCCACATAATGAAAATACACTACATCACACTGTACTAGATGGACAGACAGATAGACATTATATTTCCAGAGCTAGTATATTTTTATCCACCCATGCAACATAAATAGATTATAGAAAAACAGATGAAAGTAAATGTAACGTCAGGGTGATCTGGCTGTCACATTTCACCCCGTTGATTGCCAGGGTTGATTCGGTTGATGTGGCTGGTTAGGCAGATGTCCCCTTCCTCCCTTACACTGCTCCATGTGTATCTCTTCTCAGCCTATACACTTGCTAGAAGAGGATGACCATTCCAGATAGCGGGAGTGATGATGAAAGTATATGCCAGGCCATATGTTACATTCCAAATTTCCTTTGGTAGTGGGCGATAAAAGACTCTTGGAGGAGAGAAACTTAAATGTGCTTCATTGCAGTAAATGGGGGAGGGGCAGGTAACTTAAGCTTATGTCAGGGAATTGATTAGATAGGATCCAGGTTCCCATAGGAGATATGCCTTCCTTTACTTTCTGTGGTTTTCAACTGTTCAACAGGGCAGTGAAATTTCTGAGCGTGAAGCATTGTCTTCCTTACCAGCCTCCCTAAACAAGTTAAAAGGAAAACCATCTAGGCTTCAAGGAAACCTGGGGTCTCTTCTGGGTGCATGTTGGACAATATGAGCCAGAAGGCTTTGAAATTTCAAAAGTATTTCAGGAGGCTACCCAAAAAGTAGGTGAAAATTACATTGATGAAGTTCAGCCTTTAGTTGTTGTTGAATTTTAATGGTAGGATCTTGAAGTGATATTGGAAGCTAATAATGCACACCCATTGAATACAATGAAGACAAAGATTGATGCTCTTGCATCTATTTCTTTTTTGTTTGCTAGGATCAAGCATGGGCATTGCATCCCCTAACCAATCATCTTGTTCTTGGTGATATTATGGTTTTGTGAAGGCCTTCTAGAGAGAAAATTCCATGTAAGAGTTTGCAGGTACATACTGTACATAAATAATGCACAGTCTGATAAATTCAGGGTTAGTTATAGTTTAAATGGATGAATATGTCATTTTGGATAAAATGGATAAAATTTTTGATGAAAAATTGTGTTTTGAATGGATGGCGGGTATTGAACATTAAGTGGTTAAAAACTAGGGATAAAAGGAGAAAGAGCAGATAATTTAAGAAGACTGGTAAATTGAAACAGGACTCCATAAATGGGCTTTTAAGGGCCATTGATTATAGTGGGAGATATAATATATATTTTTCAACATTATGAGGAGACATTGATGCCACTTAAAACCACTTCAGTCAGATTATACTTTATATTAAATGTAAGCCTGTGATTACACAATCAGTAGGTGAAATGGGTTATGTGCAGCGAGAGTGCACTGAAGACTCAAGTTCATTAGTGCTGCAACTTTAAAATTTTAGAAAATAAGAGAAAATTTATATATGTAATATAAAAACACATTTTTCATATATTGCTGCAATTAAAATAGTTATACTTTGCTATATATAAACACAAAATAGATTTACATGAAGAATATTATAAACAAATAAATAATGTACACAGATACAATAGTATATCACTGAAACTATGTGTACATAAATTATATCTGAAATGAAACCAACAAGTCTATATATTTCTGTAGAGGCAAATACATAAACTACATCAGAGGTATCAAATTTCATTTCATTGAGTGCTGCATCAGGGTTATGTTTGACTTCGAGGGGGGGGCAGGGTGGGTGTGGCAGGGTGAGCATGGCCAGCACTTGTGTTGGGGGGGCACTTGTGGCTGCAATGGCCTCCTACAACCCTCTGCCTGTGAAAACAGAGCTCAAGGGGCCCACGTCTGGCCCTCGTGAGCTCTGTTTTCAGCTGGGACTGCCTCCTGCGACCCTCTGCCAGTGAAGATGGAGCTTGGGAGGATCACATGTGGCCCTACCAAGCCCCATTTTTATTAGCAGATGCACCACGGGCTAGTCCTTTGCTATTTCCAGGGCAGTCCCACAGGCCAGATCTAAGGGCCTTGAGTTTGACACCCTTGAACTACATGAATCAGGGTAAATAAGAGAACAGAAAACTTCTCCATGTCATAAGTAACCTAAAATTACTACTGCTTACAGTACAGACAAGTACTGTAATATTCTACATAATTGAAATCCAAATTGACATATAGTACATATTTTATTTTTTGTCAAGTTTTTATTTTATATTGCTTATACATATCAATGCATGAACAGTGTGATACCTGGGTACCATACATTTAGTACAGATAAACATAATGTTGTTACTCATAATTATTACATTTCATTTTCATTGTTTCATGTTGTATAAACATATCTAATACTACCACCATTCAATTTC